TCTTTGCTCTCTCCTTTCCTCTTACATAGCTAAGTAATGTACAGCACTGTAGCAGTCAGGGATCATTTTAGTTGTATCTCATAACATCTTGGGAGCCACAGCTTCACCATCCCTCGTAAATGCTTATTTCACTACAGTCGTACCTCCGCTTATGTATCCCTCTGGATACGTAAACTTCGATTTGTGAACGCGGCAAACCCAGAAGTGTTTTTCCAGGTTTTTCCAGGTTTTGCTGTGCATGCCTGTGCAGAAGCGGTCCTCCGGTTGCGAATTCCTTGGGATGCAACCAGACCTCCGGAACGGATCCCATTCGCAACCGGAGGTACCACTGTATTTGAGATCTTCTCCTAGAACCTCAATCTGGTTCTATCTGCTCTGCAGAGTACTGTATTTTTTGCTTTATAAGATGCACCAGACCACAAGATGGACCTAGTTTTTGGAGGAGGAAAACAAGAAAAAAAAATTCTGAATCTCAGAAGCCAGAACAGCAAGAGGGATGGCTGTGCAGTGAAAGCAGCAATCCCTCTTGCTGTTCTGGCTTCTGGGATAGCTGCACAGCCTGCATTCGCTCCCTAAGACGCACACACATTTCCCCTTACTTTTTAGGAGGGAAAAAGTGAGTCTTATAGAGCAAAAAATACGGTATATCCTTTTAAAGTCCAGCTTTTCAAAGGCTAACCAATCACTTGTAATTACCCAGTTCTAGAGGCACGCCACACACATATACAGTACATTGTAAACTCCATGGTCTGATACATGATTTTTGTGCCCCTCACCGGCCTGTGCCCCCAAGCAGGGGCTGGTTTCGCCAACCCCTAGGTATGTCTCTGCTCAGTTCTAATTGTAAGTTGGGTTGTTTTTGTAGCCTTTCGTAGGTATTGTGTCACATATAAAGAGAACACTTCAGAAGCCACTGATGTCATAGAAGCCAGTGATATATTAGCTTCAGCCACATAATGTTGACATAAGGGGAGACAACAGCCACTTCATGGGCCGTGACTAGAGTCAAAAGGGAGTGAAGATAAACTGTTCTCAATAGGCCTGCAGAAAGCGAGACAGGGAGAAAATAAACAAAAGCTCTGGGATTCCCAGAAATAAACAGTTTTGATAGGCAATAATTTGGAAGTGCTTCCAGAGTTGACAGAAAAGAAAAAATATCAGTGGTCTCAGGACAATATTTTGCAATCATTTGCTCAAATAGCAAAGTTATTTGCATGGAATAGCCTTTTAGAAGAGCAACTAACGGCTTAGCTAATTGAAAAAATGTTAGTTGTGATCCCTCAAAACTAATACCAGTGAAAGTGGCAGCCAAAATGTTCAAAGCTGAAGCAACTTCCCTTGAAGGAGATGTCACAATGTTGGGGGGTTTTGTTCAGAAGAAAAGTGAGTAAGAGGATCATGATGAAGGTGTATAAAATCATGCATGGTATAGAGAACGTGGAGATTTTCTCCCTTCTTACAGTGCTAAAACTAGGAGACCTCCAATGAAGTTGAATGTTGAGAACTTCAGGACAGGCAAAAGGATTTATTTAAACCATGGAATTTGCTACTAAAAGAAGTGGTGGTAGCCACCAAATTGGACAGCTTTAAAAGCAAGTTAGACAAATTCATGGAGGACAAAGCTATCAATCACTATCAGTCATGGTGGTAGAATATACCCTCAAATATCAGAGGCACTAGACCTCTGAATAACCAGTTGTTGGAGAGGACATTAGTGTCACTGAACTCGCATTCTCCTTATGCACTTTCAGCTGGCATCTGGTTGTCCACTCTGATAACAAATTGCTGGACTAGATAAGCCTTTATTCTGATCCAGCAGGGATCTTTCAACGTTGTTACCTGTAGGAATCAGATTTCTAAGTGATCTCAAAATCTAGTATATTTGTATATGTGTTTGTGAAGATAGGTAATATGCCCATTTTGAACATGGAATTATCTTCGTAGTCCACCTGTGTAATGTTGCTGGATACATTATACAATTGTTCTACATGGCAGCAGTAAGGAATGGTTTTTCTATAAAAGGCCACTGATGTATGGAGAAAATCAGTCAAGGCTTTAGGCCAAGGGTGGGTGGAGCTGGAATCAAAAGTGGGTGGAGCTCATAGTAGGAAGAAAGAATAGAAAACAAAACATTAAAATCTCTGTCCATTTTGCACATACCGTGCACAGTTGCATAAAGCTCTTCCCTCCTAAATTAAAAAAACCCAAACATTATAGCCTATAAGTTTCTGTACCTTTCCTTGAATGGAGACAGACCAGTGTCTATCACAGTAATAGGGCAATACTTTAGTGCACACATCTCTTTTAAATCAGGGCATTTGTGCAAGTATGTGCACATGAGAGAGGAGTACTCTGCAAAGATTGCACAATGACTCCTGCTTATCTGTTGCATTTATATTCTACCTTTTGTCTGAGGAGTTCAGAATAGCGTACATGGATATGCTATCCAGGTCAGGCCCCAGAAGAGCTAAAATAGTTCAGCTCGTTTTGTACCACACACTAGAGCCACGAGAAAGGATTTCACAATATATTTGGGAAATTGCTCATTCATGTCTCACGAAGTGCTGGTACTGTTCCCTCCACCCTTTAATTTTTTTAAGGTGTTTGAAACAGTGAATGGACTCTTGGAGGCTGATGATGTAACCATTTTATACAAATATAAGGCTTGATTTGTTTGTGTGTTTTTTTTTCTAATGATCCACAGCAAAATGTAAACCTGTGCAGAAAAACTGAGAAGATGCATGAGACGTCTTATTCTGTATGTTTGTCCTCACCCTCTTGTCTCTAATCTCTATAAATAAATAAGAATCTGTAGGAAATCCTTAAGACAACATCCCACTTGCTCCTGCCCTTTAGTAAAAAAAACCTTTTCTACAATACTATACAATAAAGCTATTGTTCTTACAGACATCTAGTTTGGGAACCTTGACCCTGTTTGGAGATAACTGGATTTATTTCCTAGATGGCATGGCTTGCCTTTGGCCAGTAAGAGTTTCGGTGCCTTCTATCTAAAACTTGGCCTAAATGAAAGGAACAGGCTTGTCAGCAAGCAAAATACAACACAGGTGCATTTAGAATAAGAAAAATCCACAGTGGTTGCAGTTTTCATGTTGAACAGCACTTCCCCATTAAATAATTAACCAGCTTCAGCCTCAAAACCAATGACCTGAAACTTGACATGCCACCAGGGTATGACTGTCTGTCAGGTTTTGGGCAAATCTGAGAAGCTCTTTAAGGAGATGGAGCTTTTGTCTCTGAATTGTTTTCCTAACACATTTTAGCCCTCCATAGAACTTGATGCATGGAGGATTTGCCTTGAAACTGTTCCAAATCTTCTTTTCTTTAAGTCAAAACCTTGGGAGACAACATTTGGGGGAAGACGTGGGAGGAGAAAATTAAAGCAATTGACTGTTTTATCTAAATGTTCTCTATACCTGCCCACCCTCCATTAGTTCCAAATGAAGCCTTTGTTTTCTGGGTCAAAGTATCCAAACCTTCTGCACCTATATTTTCTAAGCTATCTATGAACCAGTGCTTTGGTGTAGGGATGTAAAGCTGTGCCCCTCCAGATGTTGTTGGACTACAGTTCCAGTCATCTTTGACCATTTATTTGTCTTTCTGAGGTTGATGTGAATTGGAGTTTAAATTTTTTTAGAAGGATCCCCATCCCTGCTGCATGCAGTCCCCCCTCATCCATACCCCCATTCCAGGTGATGAAAGGAGAGACAACTTTGTGGAATTTTGGAGGGTATGTGGTGACATACCAGATGGCTAGGAATAGCCTGACCACTGGGAGAGGTGTGGGGGCAGAGGGAGTAAGAGCTCTCAAAGCAGTTCTCTGAATTTGCACATACACCCATTTTTTGAACCAGTTTTGGCACCCAGAAACCCTTTTTGGGCTCAGGCCTGCTGCGAGCCTTTGTCAAGTGTTGCAGGATCCTTCTGTTAAAAGTATCTTAACTCTTCATTAGCTTATAATAGCTGAGCAAGAGGATCAAATAAAACTTCTGCCAGCTGCATGTGAATGTTGTGTCTTATTTATAGTTCCCTTGGTCCTGGGAAGCGTGATACCTTAGTGGTAGCACACATGGTTTGCATAACAATGGCCCCATGTTCAACCCTTCAACTCAGGTATCAGGCCTTGAAGAGTTGTTGCCTGTCATGAGTGGCCAATAACTTACGGGTGACAAGTTTGCATATTATTCCCATCCCCCAGTTTTCATTGAAGGGGTCTATGTCTATGATCGGAAAGGGTCATAGCTCAGTGACAGAGCATATGCTTTGGATTCACAATGACCCAGGTTCAATCCCTGACACCTCTAGATTGTACTGGAGTGGGGAGACCCTGTTTAAGAGCCTAAATGGGTGCTGCCAGTCTCTGCAGACAATATTGGAGAGGATGGACTGGTGGTTTGACTCTATAAGATAGCTTCCTACATTCTTTGTATTATTTTAGGAATTGGAAGCTGGAGTTAAAGTGAGGTTTGACTTTCATCCTCATAGTACATGTATAGTGAAATGCTTATTTTGTTTGTAAAAGGCTGTCATTCATTCTGGATAGGTTGTCTTCTCTTAAACTGAAATTTATAGAAGCCCATTTGTAAATTAAACTGAAATTTACAGAAGCCCACTAAGAGCCCATTCAAACATTCAAGTGCCATAGTCTTATTGCACAATTAATCCACCTCAAAACTTCTGTAGAATACTATTTGTTTGGAAGCATTCCTATATCAGAATCTTGCTCCATATAGAAAACCTACACACCAAGGACAAGCTTTCAAACAAATGTTTTTTCCATGTGCATTCTGAGGTGCATTATATCTCAGTGGCTGGACATTTGAATATGCTTTGTTCGCAAGGCCTCCAGAGACAAAGACACCTGTGGTTTGTACCTTCTGCACATTCACCTGTGTGTAATTAGGTCAGACATTGCTAGGGGGGATTATTTTTGCTGCAGAAATGATGAAATGCAACCTGCTGGGAGAATGCTCTTTTTATGTTACAGAACTTTAAACACTTGATGGCTCAGCCAGGACCACAGGTGTGCGACTTCAGAACTTCTGGATTATTGCTGGAAAATACTTTCAAGTGCTTTATCTGATTATCTTTCTTATCTCTGTGTGGAACAAATTCCACTAGGATTCACCACACATCCTTTATCCTCCAAGACTGCTTTATCAGCTCATTTTAATTACAGGTATAAGCTCTGTTTATAACTAAAAGATTTATCAACAACTCTGTCTTCAAAGCACAGTGATGTTGGTGAAGAAGATTGGGTATGAGTCCTAAAATATAAAACTAACTCAGTTCCTCCATATGAACCAGTAACAAGTAGTAGTAGTAGTAGTAGTAGTAGTAATGTGGGACAGATGCCTGAGAGGAGGAACATATCTGTGTTTACATTCCTTTACTTCTAATTCAGTGCATGCTGCCATCTTTCTAGCTTTGTGTGTTGAAGTAGCTTACAGCAGTTTGGCTTCCCACTGTAATAGGCAGGGAATAGGCAACAGCTATCCAAACACTTTTATGACTATTTCATGTTTACTACTGTAGAATCATCTTGCTAGGGGGTTATTCTATTATAATTATCATTCATCCTTAACATGCAACTTTTTTGGTATAAGTTCATATATTTCTTACAAAGTTCTAGGTAGAGACTTATTTAAAACAATGACTATATAATGGAACAATTCTTTTACAGCTCAATTCTATGGTAGTTCACTAGGAAGTAAATTCAATTGTATTCAGTGAAGCTTACTTCCAGATATCAGCTAGAAGTGTTGCTATCTTAATTAACGATATAATTTTTAACTTCTATATTTACTGTTACATTTCTGTTCCTTTAGAAAGAAATAATCCTGAAGGGCATAGCTTCTCTTACAAGTAATCATACAATATTGGCAAACAAGATCAGCTATCTATTTTAGGAAACCAAGGGCAACTTTAATATTTGCTTTTTTGTTGAATATGGGAATAATTGAAGACAGCATCAGGTAAAAATGGCTTTAAAATAAGCAAGTTCAATACTTACTGGTATTGTGGAACACTCAGATTAAAAGCTGTGTTGTCAACAGTTTTAACTCTAGATGCATCTGGATTTTTATATTTTTACAAAACAGGTAATTGTAGTTTTCTGACAAGCTGGAAGTACCATTTTAAGTTTTGACTGTCTCCTGCCATAAAACTTGTCGCAGGGAGGAAATGAGGAGGGGTTGTCTGTGGAGCCTTCATTGCAGCAGGATCTTCAATAGTTGCCCCACAGCTAATTGTTTGGGCCTATTGACAGTTAACTGAAAGGAAAATTTGTACCTGCAGCAAAAAACCTTTGGCTTATCACAGGTATACTGGTAAGTTAGGCTGCAATCCTTTACACTTTTGTTGTTTAGTCGTTTAGTCGTGTCCGACTCTTCGTGACCCCATGGACCAGAGCACGCCAGGCACTTCTGTCCTCCACTGCCTCCTGCAGTTTGTCAAACTCATGCTCGTAGCTTCGAGAACACCATCCAACCATCTCGTCCTCTGTCGTCCCCTTCTCCTTGTGCCCTCCATCTTTCCCAACATCAGGGTCTTTTCCAGGGAGTCTTCTCTTCTCATGAGGTGGCCAAAGTATTGGAGCCTCAGCTTTAGGATCTGTCCTTCCAGTGAGCACTCAAGTCTGATTTCCTTCAGAATGGATAGGTTTGTTCTTCTTGCAGTCCATGGGACTCTCAAGAGTCTCCTCCAGCACCATAATTCAAAAGCATCAATTCTTCGGCGATCAGCCTTCTTTATGGTCCAGCTCTCACTTCCATACATCACTACTGGGAAAACCATAGCTTTTAATATACGGACTTTTGTTGGCAAGGTGATGTCTCTACTTTTTAAGATGCTGTCTAGGTTTGTCATTGCTTTTCTCCCAAGAAGCAGGCGTCTTTTAATTTCGTGGCTGCACTTTTACCTAGCAGTAATTCTCATGGGATTTGTTCTGAATGGACACCTATAAAATTGCACTATGTAGTTTGTATACTTTCATTACCAAGAAACTTCTCATGAAATACTGGATCCTGGTCCCAGAAGCCTCTTGTTTCCCTCTACTGTGTTGTAATATTTGAATTTAGGGGCGTAAGAACATTTTAATCCACTTTTCTACCATCAGGCAGCCTGTGCAATCCTAGGCACCATCTACCACAAATAGAAAGCAAGGTCTCGGCAGAAATTTGCAGATGGTAACATTTGGCTATTGGCCACATCTAAATGGAACCTCCATGTTTAGAGGCAATATAGCTCTGAATACTAGCTGCCAGAGGACAAATAGAAGGATGTTGCCTTCATGCTGTGGTTGTAAATATACCTGGAAGCAGTTGACTAGCCCCTGTTGGAAACAGAATGGTGGCCCAGATGGATCTTAGCCTGATCCAACCAGGCAGTTCTTAAACCACAGAGAAGTAGTTTAGGATGGTGGGAGACTTGCTGCCATCCAGTTGTAATTGGTCTGCAACTCACATCACCCCTAACCAGTATGCCCAGTAGTCAGGGATAAAGAGAACTGGAAGACCAGAAGTTCCCCACCTTGATCAGTTCTTAAGGTGAGACAGATCAATGTACACACAGTTCCCTTTCTTGTATATTAGACACGATTGTTGTATAAATATTCTGTTGTATAAATATTTTCAGACATGCATGTGAGTGAGTTTAAATGTATTTTCAGTTGCCACATGGTTTTTGCCATCACTATAAGCCAGGAATAGCCAACATGGATCACAACTCCAATCAGCCCCAGACAATATGTCCAACGGTCAGGAATGATGGGCGTTGTATCCCAATAATATATTAAGGGTGCCATGTGAACAATGCTATTGAATTTAAAATGGGTCTGATTCGTGTTAGAATTCTCAGAGTCCTTGTTGTAGTTATACTAGGATCAGAGCTTTCCATAAAGAACATAGAATATTTGTATTTCTTAAAGCCATATAAACCAGAATGAGATAAGCTGCTCCTGAAATTACTGTCTGAGCGGAAAACATGTCAAATATGCATGAGCCTCCCAGCCCAGAGGGTGTTGGGGGCTGGGGAGGGATATTGAAAATGGAATGCATTTGTTCCCCTCAGCTAGGAGACCATTTGCTCTCTGCCTCACCTCTAATCCTCATTAAAAGAGTTCACTGAACTCAGCTGCTTTTGAAAGAAAATTGAAGAGCATCATCTCATCTTATTTCTCAGAGCAAGCTGAAAGGATGGCAGTGGTGTCTTCACATTCTCCATTTCCTCTTTGGAGTTTTGAAAATAAAAAAAATATATACCCATAGTGACAGGCTCTTTCATTAGCTTTTTGTACTTCCCTGCCCCTCAGGATAGTGACAAGGAATTCAACACAAGTCTGTTACATGTCTGCAGTTGTTCAAAAGCATGAGGGATGGGCATATTATTCTCACAATACAGAAATCTGAGCTGAGGGGCTGGCATACAGGAGTGAGTCGATCAGAATACGCTTGCTCAGACTGTGTAGTCCTTGGGTTATGCATTCTACATAGTTTGTTTATTTAGTTTTTATTGAGATATCTTGCCTTCTGGTTGTCTTTTTCTATTTTATACGTTTCCAAGTTCTGAGGGAGGAAGCATTGCTTCTTATGGGACATTTACTTTTTGTTACTGGCATGTTTTGTTACATGCCTTGGAGGTATCTCTAGGCCAAAAGGTCTCCTGGATTCTCATATATAGTTGTAGCTGTTGACTTCTTTTCTCATTGGTGAGTAATATGGAAACCTCAACCAGAAGTAGTTGTCATGGCGCATGTGAGGCTGCTGTCAAAAGCAAACAAAACACTCTTGCATCTTCTCTTCTCCGCCACCCTGGTAATGTCTAGCAATTGCTGTTGACTTTAAAAAAAAGCAATTTGGTTTGATCGCAAATGAGGATCACCCTTAATACCTCGCTTTGTCACTGAGTTAAACCAGCTGCAGAAAACAGACCCATTTCCTCTGTTTCCTCTCTTTATCTGCTGTCTGTCATTTCTGAGGGAAATTTATGCTGACTTGGTTCACTCACCATCTCTCATGCTCTGGTACCCATAGACGAGACAAGAACAGGGGTGGGTGGGAATCTACATTAACTTGAGGCCATGGTGATAATGATTCACCCCATTGTTCTGTTGGCTAACTCAGCTAGTCCTCCTGTTCAGGAATTTATTTAGCCATTACTTTGGAGTGGTGGATGTCTTAAATGACTGAAGCCTTGTCAAAATGTATGGATTAAATCTGAATTAAATCTAGTAGTCAGTGACTGAAGCCACCAGAAAAATCAAAGTAATTATGCAACAAAAACTGTCCTGAGTAATTTTTAGTTGGAAGAATGCCCCATGTTTTGATAAGGATGCGTTACTACTTTGGGATCGGCTCCTTGCTTTTACCAATCTAGTCTCCCCGTACCAAACTAACTACTGGTACCTGTCAATAGTTACTGTGCTGCAGCAGTTGGGAGACATTAACTGTTCCTCCCTAACAGGAAATTAAGGTAACGTGCTTGATCATGTATCAGATGGCTTGGGTAATAGAAAACTGTCAGTGGCTCAGTGTTTATGTATCCCATTTATTTATTTAGTCATTCATTTTATATCCTGCCCTCCCTCATGAAGGAGCCCAGAATGGCAAACACACCAATATAAAAACATTGTAGAAAGATTCTAAAAACAGTTGAAAACATTCTCTCAGCTAGTGATTTCAGGGTTACCAGGAACAGTATCTTTCAGTCAGCAACTGCCTAGGTGAAAACAGAAATGCTTTAAAGTTCATCCTTAAACTGAGTAATGAGGGAGACAGATGCAGGAACACGGAAGCTGAGAAGGCCTTGTCACGGGTTAACACCCAGCAGGCAGTCCCCAGGGGCAGCACCACCAACAAAGCCCCACTTGCAGTAGGCCCTGCCCTGCGTTTTCCATAAGGAACTGGGAAAATTTGTTATTACCTAATTGGGAGGAATATTCATGCCCCCCACCCAAAAAGCAACAACCCTCACACACCAGATTCAAGTGGACTACCTAGCCTCACCCATCATGTTTGTATGTTACTTGTGCTTGAATTTCCTTGTTTTTGCTGTGTGCCCTTTTTCTGAATTGATGCATTCTCTCCTTTATTATTTTCAAGGTCTTGGGGCTTTTCCATCTCCCTCAATATTCCAAGAGTATAAAGGCCTTGCTACTGTTCCTCTTCATGCTAACAAAAAGTGTTTGCTGTGCCAAGCAATAGGCAAATGAGCGCTGAAATGGAGGCCAGGGATGGGGGGAAGCCTTCGTGTGACTTGCCATGTTTTAGTTGGGTTTTGTATTGAGCGGCTATTATAACAGTTCCAAGTAGTTGAAGGGAACAGGCTATAACGTGCGTGGATGTGTGTGGAACGTGTGACCTTGTGATTCCCTTTGACAGCTGGACCATTGAGCTAGTTGGGGAGGAATTCCAAGGCATTGGCTGTGGGTTTCATTTGGCCCTTATATTGCCTGGACATGTTATTTTCCTATTTTTATTATTTTTAAGCAGCTCAGTTGTTTCTTTATAGCCTTTGCTGCTCTCTGGTCTCTTCCTATTGCCAGAGCAACACCTGCTGGCTAAAGGGAATACAGTTGCTTTCTGTGGCTGCTTGCTGACTTTTTGCAGCCACTTCTTATTCTCTCCTTAACTTGCTTGCCTTCCCTATACTCTTTTGTTTTCCCTGTTTGTTTGCTGAATTGGTTGCAAGTCAGATACTCCTAAATTCCCACTTTCTTGTGCTACCCGAATGGAAACAAGCCAGACTCCCGTTATCACTTTTCCCTTCATCACCATCTCCTAAATGCACAGCTTCGCATCCTAGTGTCAATTAATAGTGACTTCTCTGTGGTTCCAAGCTTTCCAGGGATGAAGAATCTGTGGCCCTCCTTAGGCTTTTGGACTCCAACTCCCATCACCCTAAGCCAGCATGACCAGTGGTCAAGGATAATGGGAATTGTACTCCAACAACATCTGGAGGGTCACAGCTTCCCTATCCCTGCTTTAGACTGTGACCATTACTGTTGTTGTTTTCTTTCTTTCTTTTAAAAAAGGAATAGCAGACAGACAGAATGAAGGAAACAGAGCAGTGTGCACTTGAGGCACCCAGACACCAAGATTTCAATGCTGCATTTTAACATTATAATTGGTTTTTCTGTTAAGTTTTTGCCTGAATCTTCTTCTTCTTCTTCTTCTTTGCTGTATATTTTCTCACAGCATTCTGCATTGCAAAGGCATTTTTACGACTCCCAGTTACAAACTGTCCTTGGCATGCATGTTTTGGGGGTCTACTTTGTTTTGGTTTTTTTTGTTTTTTAAAAATTAAGCTTTATTAATTTAACAGTAAAATACAATCAAATATCAATAATAAACCCAAAAAGAAGAGAAAAAAGAAAAGAAAAAGATTACAAAAAAACAAGAAAAAAAGGAAGGAAAGAGGAAAAAGAAAAAACAAACAAAAACAAATTCACAATACATAATGTCATTTCAGGAACACAAACCGTTATTTAAGTAATCTATACATGTAATGTCTAGAAAGAATTTACTTTCATATTTATACTTTTCTACTTTTCACGTTCTTTCCATTCCTTTATATTCTTTATATTCTTTGACTTCTGTCTAACTTATTTTGGGGGTCTACTTTGAACCAGGACTTACTCTTAGAGCTGGTTTTCATTGCATCGTGAAGTCTGAAGTAGCAACAAGGAAACATTCAGGCCTATGCAAGATGTTTTCGTCTCACCTCAGGATAACAACAATCAGGCCTCATACCTATTGGATTTGTGGGAAGGGCTTCCTGGCCAGAAAATGCAAGATCCAGGCAGATTTAAATTCCTGTACCTGCCTCTTAAGAAGTTAAACAGTAGATGATTTCATAGTAGTCAGAGACGAAGAAGTTAATTGAAGATGCAGAAATAAGCCTAAGTTGGGTAGCTAGCACAACTTGAACAAGAGATCCAGTGTGTTCCCTTGAGACTCCATCCAGTGTTACTGTGTCTGCCTTGTTTCATTCATCTGTCGCTTTTGACCTTTTACCCAACTAATTTTTGCAACTAGCTCAAATGTGTGCCTTGGTATTTGTAGACATGTTGGTTCTGTCAGTAAGTATTAATAATCATCCAGACAGAACAAATAATTCAAATACCTAGGCACCAGCATCAAATATTTTTTGTGTCTAAGTAGCAGGTACATGTATTTATCTCACCTTCCATAAGGCAATGTTGAACAACAAACAACTTCCCAAAAAATCTAGAACTAAATCAGAAACGGGATGGGAGGGATGAGAGATGGGGCTTGGGGGAAGTGTGGGGTTTGGCTAACCCAAGAGTGGCCAGTCCAAGACTACACAGCAAGTCCCAGTCTTGAGCATTGTACACTGAATGTTTTACCTTTTAGAAGGATGTGTAGTGGATATGTTTAGCTGTTTTGTAAGGTTTTTAAACTTGGCCTTCACATTTCCTTCAGAAAGAGCATGTATTATTATTTCAACCCAGTGGAGTAATCACAGTGTATATTTCCTATCATTCATAGAAGCAGGATAAGATCAAGGCTGGATTATCCATTAAGCAAATTACTCTGTAGAACCGGGCCTCAGCCAGATATGGTTTTGCTATCTGGAGCTTCCCAGTGTGAAAAGTGTGTCCAGCCTGCTGGTTGGATTTTTATCTCCATCCTCCTCCACTGTCACACACAACACAGAAGATGGCGCCTGTTTCCATGTCACAAAAGACGAGTTGTGTACAACTCTCTGCCTGGAAAAAAAAATAGACGTTATTGTTTGCCTGACTGATACAAAAAGCTAAATATTCCCATATTACAGGAAATCTAATTGGTGGGGCCATGATTGGATAAACTGAAAACTGGCATCTGTGTCCACAGAGATGCATTTGTCTTTGTGTATGAATTGTAGCAGATGAAGAAGCCTGGCGCTTAGAGCTAGGAGAGAATATGGCTCAGTACAAAATCCCCTGTCTGGGAGAGACTGCCCTAGCTGTGGGCTGCCGCCTCCCTGCTTCTAAAGCGAGAACAAATATTGGGGGCAGGGGGTAGGAATTAGTCAGGAAATTGAGCATCTGAAAACGGAGACGCAGAGATGAAAATACTTGCTCTTGCAGCATTGCCTCTAGTGGGCCCATATGGCGGGCGATGCAGAGAAGAAGGGGTGTGGGTGTGGAGGAATCTTGGCAGTGAAGTAACTTCAAACAATGTTTTTTTTAAAAAAATCAAAGATGGCTAGTTATTGCTGGATTCCAACACAGTAGGGTCAGACAGCAGAAAATGCTCTGATGAAACACCTCCATCCTAGCTGGCAGCCTCCTCCTAAGCTGGGCCAGCTAATTGTGCCAGAACGGTCTGTGGTTTTGAAGCAATGAGGGAGCTGGATGGGGCTTGCCAAATTCCTTTATGCTTGTGACTGAAGCCAGAACTAATACTTCTAAAACACAGCAGCCTTGTCCTTGTTATGGAAAAGTGTTGCCTTTGTGGACCGTTCTTCACTCCCCCCCCCCCTTTTCTTCTTCTTCTTTCCTTTGCCTTCCCTGTCCTTAGCAGCAATCTTTGGCTGCCCAGATACCCACAGGGCTTTTGTGCTCTGCGTTTTACAGCAAAAATAAATAAAGTTCAGAAATGCAAAACTTCCCCCCTCCTTTTAATGGGTGGGAAAGCTTCCATATTCTGCAGGCTTTTACAGATCTCCGCCACTTCCTCTGGGATGTCAGTAAGCAGAAAATATCCCACTTCCTGGGCTGCATAATTATATTGTCGCTTTTGAGCTGTCCTCTTTAAACAAGAGGGTGGAAAATTGGTCCCTATTACTGAACCAAGTCTCTTCCTTCTCTTTCCTTTTCTTCTTTTTATACGATAGATCTCCTCCCCCTGTCTGGCCACCCCAATCCCTTTGGCATCCTATTGAGTGACTTCTTTTTGACACTTCCCTCCCTCTGTGCAAGTGGTGCTGGATCTTGCACCCCTGGGCTGTGTGCAGAAATAAATTGCTCCTGCTGCTGGGATCTGGGAAAGAAGAAGTGCTTTTAGCGAGTGCCGTGTTTCTCCAATGTAGATTAAAACAGATTCTGGCATCCCTTGGGAATGCTGGGGCAGGGGGCCTGCACCCCATTCAAGAACAGGTTAGCTGAGTGTGGCTCTCCTTTGTTAGGGCTCAGTGTCTTGATTAGGTTACACATTTGTGCTTGCTTTGAATAATGTGGAAGCACTCTTGAGAAATTCCTTTGCCTGAAAAAAGAGAGAGTGAAAGGAAGAGAAGGGGAAGTGTTGAGGTGCATGGGAGGCAGGGACTAAGGGCTTGCTGAGACTGGCAGCTGAAGGTCAAAGGTCTGCTGCAACCTTGAGACGCCTAACTGACCTTTTAAGTCTGTTGTCTGCATTGCCATTGCTGGCTGAGACTAATTGTTTGCTGGCATATTTAGAAGGGCTGCTAGAGACCAGTATATTTGCTGCCTCTGTTTCACTGAGCTCTATAGAATGACACTAAGCAGCCTCATGACAGGCAGTTGTCATCTTTGTCGCAATAGTCAGTTTTTTATATTTATTTAAGGGATAGATGGATCATGCAGGCAGTTTCCTGATCAGCACATGTACAAAGAATTAGTTTTTCTTGTCCAGGGTGCCAAGGGTTCATGCGTTGCTTTGATATGGAAATAATCTCCTGATTGGCCTCCTTCAGAGCTGGTGCTCTGGGGAAAGTGCCACATTTGGTTTCTCAGAAATCCAGCCACGGCTATATACTTCTCCACAAAATGCCTAACTGCATTTTTTTTACAGAATAGAGCATTCAGTTCTCAAGCTATCTCTTTATTCACTTTGCCCTCATAGGTATTTCCAATTTCTTCTCTTCAACTGAGGTGGACACTTCCTTATGTTAGCTTTTGCCACCTTTAGTTAAACACCATCAGAGTCAAAGCATCCCTTCCCCCCACCCTGTCACAGGGCTCTATTCTTGCTGCTGATTTGGCTGTACTTCTGGTATCCGTTGCCTCCTTTTAATTCTACACACCATCAGCCATGTGCCAATTAAGTTTTCTGTGGCTACATGGCTCCTACGGGGAATAATCAGCTTAATAGCAGAACTGTGAGAGTTATATTAATCTGTCTTCACTGACTGATCAAAAGTAAGCAAAAAACCAAAGAACAAGAACAAGTTTCGTGGGTCTGTACTTCCTGCACTGAGATTTATTTATTTTGTGATAATGGTGGTGATGCTGACTCTTCGCCATATGGTCCCAGGGTGGGTTACAACAATATGCAAACACGTTATTAAAATCAGCAAACGCCATTTGCTATCCAAGGAATAGGGTGGGTCCTATCAGTGTCAAAGTCCAAGGTAAAGAGGAGTTTCTTCAGCATAACATGAAAACTATACAACGAAGGGAATTCCACAGCTCAAGGCTGCCACCAATGGCTCTCTCATAAGAGCATAGGATGAATCTGCTGGATCAGACCATCTAGTTCAGCATCCTGTTCTCTCAGTGGTCAGCCAAATGCCTGTGCGAAGCATGCAAGCTTGAACATAAGCACAACAGCACTTTGCCTTCCTGTGATTCCCAGCAACTGCTATTCAGATGGCAGACTGACATAGGAATATGGCCACCATGTGGTTAACGGCCGTTGATAACCTTGTCCTCCATGAATTTGTCTTTTAAAGCCATCCAAGATGGTGGCCACCACTGCCTCCTGTGGGAATGAGTTCCACAGTTCAACTGTGTTGCATAAAGAAGTACTTTCTTTTATCTATTCTGAAGCTTCGAACATTCAGCTTCCTTTGAATGGCCACAAGTTCTAGTGTTAGCAGAGAGAGAGAGAAACTTTTCTCTATCCACTTTTTCCATTCCATGCTTAATTTTATAAACTTCCATCATGTCACCTCTTACTCACCTATTCTCCAAACTAAAAAGTCCCAAATGCTGCAGTCTTGCCTCATAGAGGAGTTGCTGCACCCCCTTGATCATTTTCTGAACCTTTTCCAACTCTACAATACTCTTTTTGGGGAGAGACGAGTAAAACACTAAACAGTTTTCCAAATGCAGTCGCAGCATAAAACAATTTCTCCCAGGCTGCCCTCCCATCCACAAACCTCCCAAAAGCAGTCAAAAGCCCCCCTCTGCCAATCTTGAGGATCTGTAGGGAATGAGGCAATTTTTCACATATTTGGGAATTGAGACATTTAAGCACTAATGTCAGCACCTTGAATTTGGCCTATAAACAATCTGGCAACCAGTGAAGCTATTTTAAACAGGTGTTATGGAAATTCTAAATGTAATCTCAGCCAGAAATCTGGCTACTTCAGTTTGGTCAGGATTCTCTGTAGTCTTTAAGAGCGGCCCCACTTAGAGCTCATAGCAGTAATCCAGTCTGGAAGTATTCAAGCCATCTCTTATTATGTTCCCTCCCTATCCCAAGGTTTCAGGGTAGCCAACGGAACTGTTTGGCTGCGTATATGGATCTCTGTCCCATAAAAATCTTGCCATAAAAGCATCTCCTTGTAACCCAGCTACACACCCAGCTTTTAATATTTTCACTAGATATTGCTGGGTTTAGGGGTATTTTAAGTGTAAATACCCCATGAAAGCTTTTTAGACCTTGAGGCAAAATCACCAGTTCAGCTCTCTACTGCCACATGGAGAAATTTCTGCATGGATGATATAATAATAATAATAATAATAATAATAATAATAATACTGTAATAATAATAATAAACCTTTATTGTCACTACACCACCTGTGTGCAGTGAAATTAAATGAGCCCCCTACCCCCCCCACATACACTCAGTCCTATTCCATTTCACAAGCTGATTCAAAGCAAGCCCAAGCTACCATGTCTGATAGGTTTTATACTATAAATTACAGGAGTGCACCTTTTTAAAATTGACCTTATGATTCCTCACTAAAGTAACTTAAGAGTCACTCAAAATCTTCTCTATGCCATGCACATCCATTGTCTCCAAAGACATATAATTTTTTTTTGCATAACTGTACTAAATTGAAGGATGCAGTTGCAGCTTCTGATGACAATTAGATGCTATCATGGAGTACATACTTTTCAGCTCTCATGAGTATGCCTTTGAGTAATTGCAGACATATCCATGGAACTAGGCCATATGTTTTGTTCTCCATGAAGTGTGTCTCTGGGGAGTACAGGTAAGCATTGCGTGGGGAAATTCCAAGTGGGCCTAAATGTAACAAGGTCCAGCTTTTTCACCAAAGGGATCCTTCCTAGCATATGGTCCAGAAACTTAGTTCTTCAGGATAGCACAGGTTAGAAATATGAATTAAATAAGTAAGTATTCCTCATGCCCAGTTATGTAACTAAGAGATCCATGCTTCATATAGTTTATAAATAATTATTTCAATTTCCTGTGTCCTGTCCTGAGACTTTTGAGACGGAGTGTGCTACACAGTCAAATGTGTAAATACATTCCACATTAGACTTTGCTGTTGGGTTTTCAGCTGAGTGTCTTACTTGTGTGCCTGGCCTGTGTGCCTGGTCATTCTTGCTAACATAGTCTGAACCAGTGCTTGGTGAATCCATTAAATTTGTTCATTGTAAATCAAAGCAACAATTTCAGCAATCATAGCTCTGCGCAGAACTGGTTGTAATATGCTAAAGTCCCCACATAAAGCTGAGTTATATCATTTGCTTGTCTACTTTTATAAAGATTTGCAACAGCCGTCTCTTTTGTTGTCCCTCCAAACTTGCGCTGGATTTTGTTGTTTCTAAATATAGCATCTGTCATCAGGGTGATTGTAATTATTAATTCGCCTCTTCTCTCTTTCTCTCTCTCTTTTATAATGGAACTCTGATGTCATCCTTCCCAACCTACCATTCAATTGATGCATTTAGGTAAGTCTTTGCATGCTGTTCAAAGCCTTCCCTTCTTTTCTTCCCTTGTGTTGTACATTGTCGGTGATAGGTTAGTCTCACAATCCAGTGATTTACATGATTATTCCAATTGTTATCTTGTCTAAAGAAACTCCGTATTGAATGTGTACAGAAAATATGTATCTAATTTATTTTGAATATGAAGTCCTACCTGTTGCTACACAAATGATCCCCCCTACACACACACACACACACACACACACACACACTGTTTGACTTTTTCATGAAAAATCTCCTGATTTCCAAGGTGGAAGAGTCAGGTCCCTTGAACTGCAAAGGCCAGACTGGTAAGCATGTATTCCTGGCCAAGGAAAGACCCTGATTACCTCATTAATAAACCACACATCTACACCAAATAGTTCCAAAGCATTCCCCCCCCCCCAAATTCTGAGACACAGGTACAAGATGTGTATTGACTACCTTTCTTTCTTTAATTGTGGTGTGTGGCATTAAGGGTATATGTCAGGTTCAAATGGTTAAAAAAACCAGTGTCCATGAAGAGGAAATAATTGTGAGCCATGACACACACAAGCTATTGCCAAATCCCCAGGAGGCACTGCTCATCTGTTGCTTCTCCTCTCCCCTCCCCATTTTGGTTTATTTGTTTTAAAGAAAAATCATGGAGGGTCAGGCATCACCATGAACGCCCTAGCTCATTCTTCCTCCATGCAACTGTAGTGATGGGGCTACTCTGTTAGGGTGTTGTTGTTGTTTTAATGTATGGTCTTGAACTTTGACTTCCCTGGCCACTGTTTTACTATGCTACAGTGACTGATTGACGGATGGATGATTTTTGTTTCAAATCATAGACCACTTTTGAAACAGAAACATACACAAAGCAGCACACAACCGTATATGTCAACCAATAAATCATACTATGGTTTTGAAACTAGATAAAAACGAAACGTTTCACAACAGCACAAAATACTGCAGTATATGTATAATGAAGGAGTGGGAGATGAAGATGCTCTAACGCAGAAAAATAGTGTGCTTGTCTTCTTGCAGCCTATTTGTATGTTCTTTGAGATTGTCAGTCCACTTTTTTTTTTAAGATAGCAAGTTGTTCATAGAATCATAGAATTGTTGAGTTGGAAGGGACCACAAGGGTCATCTAGTCCAACCCTCTGCACTGTAGGAATCTTTTGTCCAACGTGGGGCTCAAACCAACAACCCTCAGATTAAGAGTCTCATGCTCTACCAGCTGAGCTATCCCAGCATATAACCTATTTAATCCTGTCTGAGGTATTTGCATACTAAGCGCATACATGATCCCAGAAGTTGGGATGGAGGCACTCTCTTGGGATCTGGCTTGGCATCTCTGAATTCTTTCTTGAATCTCTAAATCATCTTATGGCCATGTGCTCTTAGCATGTACTCCAATCTCATTGAATATTTTCAATTCCAGCTTAGAAAGTTGGGTACATTTGCACATGTTTACTCCCTAGGTTCTTTCTTGTTTGGAGTTCTTTCATAAAGAGCACACAGGGTTGGACAAGACAGTGCTGATAAAACAGCAGCACAGAGCAGTTGTAAAATTTGGGTACATGTCTGCATTGGACAACAACTTGTTCTGGCCTGTGCCCATCCATACACAGAGCAGTGGGGCTACTATTAGAAATATAACTGCAGGGGCAGTTCTATAGCAAGCTTTGTCTCTGCATAACCCAAGTGGTTGCTAAACCTCTTACTCTTACTGCCTCCCCTTTATTCATACTCTTCCCCTGCCTCATCTCAACTCATTGCGTACAGCTCTTGTGGCTGTTCAACCTGGTTCCTGCCTTCATAGTGCCATTTTGGCTGTGCCTCCAAGTACCGTAATCAGTCCTGATAACTGCTACAAGCTGGGGCTCAAAACGCCTTTCAACTCAAGCAAAGAATAGAATTCATCTGCCAGAATATACTGCTTTGTTTTGAAGCCTCATTGTCGAGGGCTGTATGATGATCTGTGCAATTGCTGGTCTTTCTAGTCAGCTGACAGGAATGCCAGAATTTTCTTCAGTCGTCGAAGTTAGGTAATTATCCAGATGATTCCTGCTGGAGTTTCAAGAGAAAAACAAGTAGGAATATTCCCATGTGAGATATCCTCTACGCAAAGAATTGCTTTCTTTGTGTACCAAAACAGGATAAATTAGCTCAGAATTCACTCCTGGGAAATTCCAGCCTGCCAGCAAAACAGATGGCAAAGATATCCCAAACCTGCAGCTCTAGGCCTTCCTTGTATCATTGCTGTAAGCTTCTTAGTCCTATTCTCTTGTGTTAATGTCTCTAACAGTTATATTTCTGACATAGGCAGCAGCCAGAGGAGGAGAAGCCTGGAGAACAAAATCTCTCTTTTAGCACCTTGGCCAGCACCAGGCTTCTGGCCTGCAGTGGGAAGCTTTTATAGGTGTAACATTTCTTCTGGGAACGACGAAGTTTGAATGTTCCCTTTGCAATGATTTCAGTCTTCCATATCATTAGCAACACAAATTTGGCATGCATCTCTCCTTGCTATTGTATTGGGAGAACTCTTACCATCAGCAGGCAAAGTTTACCCTTTTAAGATGCTTCTTTAGCTCCATTGAAGTACACTTGGAAGTGCAGCACAGGATTGCATATTAAAAATATCCTATTAGCACAAAGCTAATCACATCTCTACAGGTAGCTTTTATTATGTATGTAAACAAATATTGCTTGGTTTTTAAAAGTAAATAGATACAGATGATAGATAGATAGATAGATAGATAGATAGATGATAGATAGATAGATAGACAGACACCACCCTTATTCAAACTACATTACATTTTTTTTTTCATATTCTCTTAAAGCATTCTAGCTGTAATGCTTTAAGAGAATATGAAAAAAAGGGTTATAAATGGGTTAAAATCTAATGGTAAAGATTTGCTGAACCAATAAATTGAAGTGGAATACAAAAAAGGGAGGTACGAGGAGGTCCAGGAAACAAGCTAAAGGAAAATAAGTAACTGGAAATATGTGTGTTTTTAATTGTTTTTATTTTGTATTTTTCTCTTTTCTTTTTCATTTTTACTGTAATATTTCAAAAAACCTAATAAATATCTTATTAAAAAAAAACTACATTCCAGGTTTGTTGTTAACAATGTAAAAATAGCAATAACATGTAAAATGTATTTTTTTAAAAATAAACAGATTAAAAAGTGGCAGACAAAGCAACTACAGCATACTGATGAAACATTGATCAATAGAATTTAATGTGTCCATTCACTCTGGTATGATGCTGGGATGTCAGTATGACAAGAGCCTGAATCTCAGCACCAATGATATTAAAAAGGTGAGCTATAAGAACACATACCGTATTTTTCGCCCCATTAGACGTACCGCCCCATAGGACGCACCTAGTTTTTATGGGGGGGAAATAAAGAAAAAAAATTATTTCCCCCCCCCCAGGTGCGGGGCTGGCGCGGGGGAAGCAAGAGCTTCCCCCAACCCCAGCCCCCAGAACAGCCTGCTATCCGCAAGCCTAGGGAGACGCGCCCCAGGCTTCTGAATGCAGGCAGCTCTGCGCAACCCTTTGGAGCCCGCGCGTCTTCGAGCCGGTCTCCCAAGGGTTGCGCAGAGTTTCCTGAAGCCTGGAGAGCAAGAGGGGTCAGTGCCCACCGACCCCTCTCGCTCTCCAGGCTTCAGCGAAAGCCTGCATTCGCCCCATAGGACGCACACACATTTCCCCTTCATTTTTGGAGGGGAAAAAGTGCGTCCTATAGGGCGAAAAATATGGTAATCTGGAAAACAGCCAATGCAAAGCAGGAAGCTGCTCCAACAACATTCCATGTTACGTGTCTCACTCTATGGTGCACGAGTCTCTCACAGGGTCACCATGCAGGCTGAATTTATATTGAAGTAATTGAGTGTTGTCCTTGTAAATGGAAGGCCTTCTGCTTATCTGATGCTAGTGAAAATACCCACATCGTAGTATAAACATGTTGTGGGAATGTGTTCAAAGGTTCCTGTAACATTTTGAGAGCATTGTGTGAACCTGCTCTTTTGGTTTGTTGTCTTAAGTGTCTCACAGAAGGCACAGTCAAGAAAGGGGTTCTCCTCTTTTTCAAAATATCCCTGGTGAAGTGGAAGACTTGGAAATACTAGCATCTTGATAGAGGCTGTGTTCCACTGGAGACAGTGTGATCAAATAGTAACTAACAGTCTGACGTGAAATATTCACGCTGCTTGATGCATTCCAGCCTATCATCATTCTGTGCTCCTGAGAAATAAGAGAAAGCTGTACATCTCCACAGACAAATAAGTCATTTTGCAGCTATTGTTATCAGCTTCTGCTTGCTGGTGGATTTCTGTATTCAGCTGGCCTTTATATTGGCCATACATTGCATATAATATATCCACATCACCTGATCTCTCTCTGATAAAAAATTGGAGCAACTGAGGTTCCCAAAATCTATTTTAGTTCTTCTTAACTTGTAAACAACATTTCCTAGCATGTCAAAGGTTTTATTTTATTTATTTGTTTATTTTAAAAGATTTGTAAACTGCTCACCTTATAATATATCAGAGTGGTTTACAAGAAACCAAAAGTAAGGATAAAATATACACCAAAAGTAAGACAGTTACAATAATAATTCACTACTAGAAGAAAATGCTTGGATAAATTAAAAGTCTTAAGCATGCATCTAAGAGAGTAGCTAGCTTGTTGGAGCATGCCTTATATCAAATGGTGACAAATTCCACATTCAAGGTGCAAGTTGTGCTGGACTTTGTAAACAAATAACAACCACTTAAATCTGGCCCGGTAGCAAGTAGGCCCAGGGGCAGATCTACTATGAAACTAATGAAGCTTAAGCTTCAGGGCCCTTAATCACAGAGGAGCCCCAGAAGTGACTAGTTCACGTTCTTAAATTTAGGGGTCAAGTAGACACTATTAAGAGTCACACAATTCAAATTGATTATTTTTTGTTGTATTGTTGTTGTTTAGTTGTTTAGTCGTGTCCGACTATTCATGACGCCATGGACCAGAGTAGGCCAGGCATTCCTGTCTTCCACTGCCTCCCGCAGCTTGGTCAAACTCATTTTCGTAGCTTCGAGAACACTGTCCAACCATCTCATCCTCTGTCGTCCCCTTCTCCTAGTGCCCTTAATCCTTCCCAACATCAGGTTCTTTTCCAGGGAGTCCTCTTCTCATGAGGTGGCCAAAGTATTGGAGCCTCAGCTTCAGGATCTGTCCTTCCAGTGAGCACTCAGGGCTGATTTCTTTAAGAATGGGTAGGTTTGATCTTCTTGCAGTCCATGGGACTCTCAAGTCTCCTCCGGCACCATATCATATCACTTAAAACAGGCATGGCTTCCTCCAAAGAATCTGGGACAGTGTAGTTTTTTAAGGGTGCTGAGAATTGTTAGGAGACCACTGTTCCCCTCTTAGAGCTACAATTTGTAGAGTTCCTTGGAAAGAGGGATTGACTGTTAAACCATTCTGAGAATTGTAGATCTGTGAGTGCAACAGGGGTCTTCTTACAATTCTCAACGCTCCTAACAAACCATAGTTCCCAGAATTCTTTGGGGGAAGCAATGCCTGTTTAAAGTGATATGATGGCCAGGATAGCTCAGTTGGTTAGAGTGTGGTGCTGATAATGCCAAGGTTGTAGGTTTGATCCTCGTATATGATAACTGCCTATTCCTGCATTGCAGGGGGTTGGACTAGATGATCCTCAGGGTCCCTTCCAACTCTTGTGATTCTATTATTCTATGATACTGCTTTAAATGTATAGTGCAGTTGGGGCCTAGGTTACAGTGTGTGTGTAGCCCATGACTTTTTCCACTGGTTTGCAAGTATTACCAAGGGCCCAGAAAGGCTGGCAACTCCTGCATTAGCAATACCTTGAGTTTCTTTCTCCAACTCCATTCAGGAGATGGAAACTCTTTGCCACTTTTTAGAGTGAACTGCACCTGCTCTGGCAGAATGTCCTCTTGTCTTCTGCCTCTGCCTCCCATCTCTGTAGTAATTATGGCACCAGCCAGGTTTACGGTGCTTCAGGAAAGCCAGTTGCCCATGCTCCTTCATGGATCCAGGACATTTTCACTTGAGGGGCCTCTCTCATCCTGTTTATGTTAGTTCTAATCATTCTTCATGAGGGGGAAAATCATTTTATAATGCAGCTGCACATTCCCAGCTGATGCAGGTTTCCTGTTTACATTGCATTAGACACCAGATCAAACGGAGAGCCACTTCTGTAAAATGACTGCTGTTACAGTGGTGAAACCCTGCTCATTCTACATTGGCTCCTGGTTTTAACATGGTGTTCCCTCTACTGCTCAAGGAGCTCTTGGAGGAATACAGCACAGGGGAACGAGAAATATTTTCCATGTCTTCTTACAGTCAAGACTTAAGGATTCCCAAAGTGTGAAAACCCACTTGCTGATTTCTACAAGCCAGTTGCTGCAGGCTAGGGACAAAGTGTCATGGGAAGGATGAATAATTAGGAGCCAGCAGGAGAAAATAGCATGGAGGGAACTTCAGATCTTGGATGCAGTGCTTCATACATGTACTTGGAAATGTAGAATTTACAAGATGCACAAACAAGATGCAAGCACAATATTTTAAAGAACCAGATTACTACTTGTCTCTTTTCATCTGTAGTGGGTGCCCTTAGATGTGTGACTTTAAAGCGAAATTGTGTTTGCCAGCTTGCGTCACCAGCATGGAGTTTCGGTAGCAATTTTTGAAAACTATAAATAATGCAAAATTGCACATGTGCGCAGAGACACTTACTAATGTGTGTTGAGTGTTCTGTTAATATTTGCTTGATTTTTAAAAAGCATTTATTGCAAATATGAATACGCAGTTTGCGAGGGAACTTGCGAGGGGACGCATATACAACGAGGACAGGTATCCTGGTTCCACTTGCTGACTCAGTTCACAGTTTGGGACTAATGTTTCACACCACACTATCCATCCTGGAAACATGCAAAGCAAACATGGGGCCGAGCGGATATAAACCATCATCTATGCAATAAGGAGAGAATGTTGATGACTTGCAGAAGGTGAATAAAAAGGGTTGGGGGGTATGTTTTGTGAGACCATCTGCTACTGTGATTTGGAGCCTCCATATAAAACCATGGCTCTAGCTCATACAAAAGCCTTTAAATAGGGTAACTAATGGGTCACATGCATCCTTGCTTGTAAGGTTAAGACCCACAAGTCATCATTTGTAAGAAGGTGGGGGATGAATTGTTCACTGGAGGGAAAAGACATTAAATCTAAATCCATTGTAGCAGCCACAGGGGACTCTATTGTTTCTCAGTATTATGTGTCTTAATGAAATGCAACTTAATGCATGTCTGTTGCTCTTGCCCCTCCGATTTTGAGCCCTACTGCTACCTTCTTAGAAAAAGGGTGGTTCCCAAGTCTTCACCGCCATCAAAAGCAATTTTCCTCAATCACCTGCTGTCTGCTGCTTTCTTCTCATAGAATAGCCTTGGGTTTTGACACAAACTAGGAAATGCAGGACCATTAGTTTCTGTGTTTGCTTTTCTGTGACCATTGAAAAAAAATATCAGTGTTTAAAGAATGGAGGCAGGGAAGTCTCAGGAGGAGGGGAGAAATGTCTGGGATGTACCTAGTATGAATGGAGATCTGGACGAGGAGTTCATGCTTGGGTGGGCAAAGCTTGTTCTGGAAGACTATGGCAAATCTCACCCAGGGTTCATTTGCTGGTCAAAACCCACTAATCATGAGAGAGGGATTCTGTGCTGGGGAGGACAGAACAGTGGGTCAATCACAACAGGTCATTGATATTGCCTTACAGTGCCATACTGGGGTGGCTGGGAGGTTTCATTGCTTAATGGCATCTCTGTCTTATTTTGGACCCCAAGCTGCTGCTGCTGCTGCTGCTGCTCTTTATCACTTTTATAGCACCAACAGTATGGTAGACTGTTGACCTAACTAATTCCATATGTGTTAGACTAGACGAATGATCTTTGTACACATAGGGATTGTTTCAAACACTGAAGCTATACAAGACTTCAGGTTTTTTTTCAGGGCATTTTTATGGATGGCATTGTTCAGCAGCTCCATTTTGGCTTCTACTTTAGTTTAAAATGATAGTAGCGATGGCTTCTCTTCCCAGCAACTAGCTGGCAATTCTTTGTCTTACAAAGGTCTTCCCCCCCCCCCTTTTGAAAGAGGTGTTTAGGCATCTGGTTTTCAATCTCCTCCTTTTGCCTTCACTCCATTAATCAAATTGGAAAAGCTGTGTCCTGGTACTGAAGTTTCTTTCCGATCATCACATTGACCTCACTTTGTCAAGAATGTTGCTGCTGCTTTCAGGTTAACTTTATCTTCCATCAGTTTTGAGTACCATTAGTCTCTGTGCTTTAATCTTTATGTTTTGTGTTTCTCCCACTATGTTCTTTTCTGGAGATATTAAAGGTCAATCTACATGCGCATATATACATTTTTTCCTTTTGAAGCTGGAATTCGTTTTGGCTCTCCTAACTAGGCGAGTGTTGAAAATCACAAGTTCCTTCTTGCCCACAAAGCTGATCTCTTTTGATCATTGTTAAGGGACTTCGGGGCAGGAAAAGCATGTGCTCTGGCTGCCAGACAACACTTGCTGTAGGTAGATCATTAGCTTTGCTCCACTGAGAAGAGCAGATTGCTCACTTAAACAAGACCTGTGACAAAACAAACTATACAGTAGTTTTGATTTAGTTCTTTATAATATCACATAGTGTTTGTGGGTGAAAAATGTATAGGTATTCAATGAGAGAGAGAGAGAGATCTGGACTAAGTTAATTGAACAAGTTCTGTTGAAATCACTGTTAACAAGCTAGTCATGATTTAAGTCCAACAGATTTCAATAGGAACTGTATACAACTAAATCTCTTTGGGTTTAGAAGCACTTCCCCAAACACAGTGGAACTCTCCTCCCCACCTGTCCCCTTGTCCTGCACCACCCCAAATTTGCTCTGGGAGTCTGGGAAAAACCCCAGAGCAGATCTGTGTAGGGAGTAGAGGGAGGAGATGTTCCATAGCACTTACAGAAATCATTTCTTATGCGCATTGATTTAGTTGGATACAAACTGTAGGCTGGATACTACCCACTATATATGTGAAATGCAAACCTATCTGGTAAAAGCTATACAGATGTCTACCCATTCTTGGAATCTCAGTTAAGACTGAATTATGTATGTATCTTTGTCCTTTGGGATAATGTCACTTCAGCAGAAATATGTGTATTCCTTCTCATCTACCACATATATTCTGCCAAACATTCAAGGTTTCTTGGAACAGCAGCAGAAAGGAAATTTCTGTACTTTGCCAACTGTACCCTGTAAATATTCAGCTCCTTATTTCTCCTTGGGGAGTAGATATCTTGAGATTCCATATGGGCACTTACTGAGGCGGGATTCCTTCCTGTCATTCATTCATAACAAGCTGATTTCCCTTGAAACAACACCGGGAAATTGAGGGGCTCCTGTGAGGTCAGGGCTATCCAGTGTAGTGCCCTCCAGATATTGTGGACTACATCTCCCAGCAGCCCCAGGCAGCATGGCAAATGTTTAGGGAATTATATATTTTTATTTTATTTCATAAAATGTATATACTGCTTGGATGTAAGGGGAAATAAGCCCTATCAAAGCTGTTGGCAAAAATCATGGGAGTTGTAGTCCAAAAATCTGGAGGGCATCACACTGGCTAGCCCTATATTAGGTTCATTGTTCATAATTTTGATAAATGCCACACTTTGTTTCAATACAAGTCATTCAGAGCTTCTGTTGATGATGATGTTCTGTCATAATCATAACATTTGTTGTTTAGTCGTTTAGTCGTGTCCGACTCTTCGTGACCCCATGGACCAGAGCACGCCAGGCACTCCTGTCTTCCACCGCCTCCCGCAGTTTGGTCAGGCTCATGTTTGTAGCTTCAAGAACACTGTCCAACCATCTTGTCCCCTGTCGTCCCCTTCTCCTTGTGCCCTCCATCTTTCCCAACATCAGGGTCTTTTCCAGGGAGTCTTCTCTTCTCATGAGGTGGCCAAAGTATTGGAGCCTCAACTTCACGATCTGTCCTTTCAGTGAGCACTCAGGGCTGATTTCCTTCAGAATGGATAGGTTTGATCTTCTTGCAGTCCATGGGACTCTCAAGAGTCTCCTCCAGCACCATAATTCAAAAGCATCAATTCTTCGGCGATCAGCCTTCTTGATGGTCCAGCTCTCACTTCCATACATCACTACTGGGAAAACCATAGCTTTAACTATACGGACCTTTGTTGGCAAGGTGATGTCTCTGCTTTTTAAGATGCTGTCTAGGTTTGCCATCGCCTTTCTCCCAAGGAGCAGGCGTCTCTTAATTTCGTGACTGCTGTCACCATCTGCAGTGATCATGGAGCCCAAAAAAGTAAAATCTCTCACTGCCTCCATTTCTTCCCCTTCTATTTGCCAGGAGGTGATGGGACCAGTGGCCATGATCTTCGTTTTTTTGATGTTGAGCTTCAGACCATATTTTGCGCTCATAACATAGAACCAATGAATACAATAGCCATTCGTTAAAACAACCTTTTAATAATAGCTTTAAATTGTTTAAAAATCAGATTAAAACTGAATGTCCTAGTAAACACTGCCACCCTTCAAGTGGCCTGACAAGGACATGTGGGCTTTTAGGATGTATGGAATGATGAGGCATCCGTTGAGGGTGCATGGGAAATGGATGTGCTGGAGAAGAAGGCGATGGTCTGCTCAGGCTCCTAATAGCTCATTGTAAATGTCAGAGCTGCTTCCAGATCCTAGCTCACAGAGGATCACGCTAGCCAGCGATCATTAAACAAAAGTCTTTATTGAGTTACAGTTTCCATTCTCAAACTGCTGCGTGCAACTCTACGTCTCATGGTTAGACCGGCGAAGCTCCGTCTGAGTCTCCACCCCTTGTACACCAACTTAATATCCTAGCCCTGCTCCACCTTTTCCGCCTGACTGTTCTTCTCTGGGTCCCTCTGCCCCCTGGGGTCTCTTCTTTCCGGGATTCCTCTGACGCTGACCCCCCTGACTCTTCTCCCTCCTTTCGGCGGGCTTTAGGACCTGGCTCCCTTTCCGGGCTGCCTACTGTGCCACCTTCCTGTGCATTTGAACTTGCGCGCGCGCCCAACCTTCCACCTTCCGTCTGACCGTTTCTTCGCTCCCCGATGGAGGTGTGGCCACTCCTGACTCGTGCCCTCCCCCCTGTTGTGAGCTGCCAGCGCTTGATCCCTGGCTCCCTTCCTCTTCCCTGCTCTCTGGCGGTGACGCTGGTCCCGATTTCCAACTGCTCCCCTCTGAGTCCCCTCTGGCTCTATCTTCCTGGGGTGTCCCCTAGGCTCCCCCCTCGCCCTGGCCACTGGTGCTCCTTTCTGTGAATCTTCTGATTCACTGGAAAGACTCGGAGATCTCGGGTCGTCGTCATCACTCATCTTTTCTTCTGCCTCCTCCCCCTCGCTCTCTGTTTCCTCCCTTGCCCTTGCCTCTGCTCCTGAACCCCTGACAGTAAATATCCCAGAAGAGAGATTAGGGTTGTGGGTGGGGGTTGTCCCTTGAGGTCTACCTTGTACTATACGGAGATGTTTCAGGAGGAGCAAATTAAAAAAGGTTTGATGTCATGTTATTAATAACTTTTTCTGTTAGGAGGTAGCAAAGTGGATGAAAGGAGAAACAAACCAGAAGTGGAAGTTGGGGGAAGCCTACGAGGGGAGGGAGGAAGGAATACATAATAAATGTTAAGAATCTGAGATGTATGTAATGAATGAAAAAGAAAAATGAATAAAAATTTATATATATAAAAAAGGGACCCGACCTTCCCTTTTCCATTCTCCAGAGCCATCCTGCTCTCCAGCTGCTGTCTCCCCCACCAACCCTTCCTCTAACTGAAACAGCACCACAGGACTCCCAGTCAAGGCCAGTTGGAGCCCTGGAGTGCTCCTCCTGAGGTGGGGGTTGCATTCCAGCATTTTATTATAAACGTTTAATGAGAAACTTGTCAAAGAGTCCTCCTAAAATGGTTCTCCCATTTATCCTGGTGAGGCTTTTTTAATATAAAAAAGTTCCTATTAAATGTTGAAATGCATCTTCTCATTCTCTCATGTTTGATATGTAGCCAGAAAATGGGAAATAATCTCTCTTGTATAAAAAGGATTTTCCTCCCTTTAAAAGAGCTTTTATACCTTAATAACACTATGTCACTAAAAAGGCCTTTGAGAGGCCATCTTGGCCATCCATTCAGCCAGCAAATAAAGATTTCTTGTGCGTGTTTTTCTGGGATGAATAAATGAAGATCTCGGATGGCTAGCCTCTTATTGTAAGGATAAGCAGTCCTTTGAGGAAAATGCACCATTTAGAAATCCCCCCTTTCTTGCAGTTATATTTCTAATAGCTATGTGCATATGGGTTGGCAGTTAAATATAATACATCCAAAATGTAGTGTGTTCCTCTAAGTATAACACATTATCTGCTTTTGGTAGACCAAACCTGTCCTTCTCTAGTATTTTAGGTTTTAATGATGTGGTGGCCAATTTGGGTTCAGATTTCTTGACCATTAGCTAAAACCTGGATAGAGTTGAAACTATTAATTTCATGTTGTTTTCTGGGACTTCCTTACCTCCTTCCACCTTGCTTAAGTCTCTCACTGTATTATTAGATGGCTTCTCTTCTGCCTGGCCTCCTGTTCGCCCTGACTTCTACCCAAATGATTAATGGAGATAAATGTGCCATATGGTCAGAGCATCTCTCATCTCTGCTTCCATGTTTGCCTTTCATCAGCCTATCTCTGGAGCAGGGTGGATTCTCAGCCAGTCACAAAGACCAAAAAACGTCACAACCCAGTTCCTTTGATTTTTATTATGAGCTAGCTATACAAACGACTCTGTTTTCCTTGCCTGTTTTTAGAGGCTGTATCTGCCAGTCTGCCACTACACAGAGTTTGTGGACAGGGCAGTTTCCCCTTTAAGTGTTTTTGGTTTTTTTACTGTGTCTGGACGGATTTATGTGTTGTTGCTATTTTATAATTATTAATTATTGTGAGTTTGCTTGGTGAGCTTGCTGGAAGCAAGGACTTTAACAGCTTTCCATTTCCACCCTTAATGGTACAGGTGTTCTTCCATTTTGAATAATGGCTGTTCCTTCAGTTGTATAGCTCTTGCCTTCAGGAACAAGTTCACTTGCTATGGTTTCTCCTTTGTTCACATTGGTTTCTTGTTGTTTGACCATTTCACTATAGTATTCTGTGGTCTTCAGTTTTGAATTCCTAAATATATTTCATTGTTGTGTTTAAGTAATGTTAGTAAAGAACAGAACAAAACACAACATGAGCTTTGCAGGATCAGGCCAAAGGCCCATCTAGTCCAACACTGTTCTCCCAGTGACCAAGCAGATACCTATGAGAAGCCCATAAGCAGGACCTGAGCACAGCAGTTTTCTTTCCATCTGTAATTCCCAGCAATGGCATTCAAAGGTATACTGCCTGTGACAATGGAGATGGATTGTACCCATTGAAGCTGCAAATACCAGTGTTTGTATACTTTCTGGGTAGTAGACACTTGGACACACAGCCTCTGAAAAACCAATGGCAATCAATCCCATCTGCATCTCTGGAGTGGATTCAGGCATGCTATTTCAGTCTTAAAATCAATAGAACTGAATGTACAGTAATCGCTCCACCCTAACCCAATTTATCGAAGTTTAATGTTCCTCCTTGTTTGGAGCAGATCCTTTTGTTAATCTGTTAAATGAGTTGAATTTGTAGTTCAGCACACCACCATTACAGTTTCACCATGCAAGCCTATACATGTTTGCTCAGAAGCCCGTCTTGCCTGTGTTCACTGAGGCTTCTTCCCAGGTAAGTAAGTGTCCACTGAATTACACCTCTTAAAAAAACAAGACAGATGAAACAGCAAAGCATTTAGGAAATGAGCGGGCATTGCTGAGAAAGATGAAAGTTACCAGAGTTTGAAATGGTTACCGCTAAAGGACTTCATGTCCCCACCCTTGTTGCAGCAAAGCAGTTGCTCAACCTTTTCAGTTACATTCTTGAAGAAAAATAAATATTTTAAGATGAATGTGGGGAGAAAAAATTGTCACCCATGTAGTGGCACTGTAGGGCAACAGGAGCTCGTGGAGCCACATTCTATAAAATAATTGCATTTTCCTAATGACAAAATATGAGTCTTGGGGAAATGTGATATTTCTCTAACATAAGTACAACCTTGAAGAAGAACACTGGTGCATTCTTTGTATTGAAACAAAAATATTATTTGGAAAAGCCCCCTCATTTTAGCTGTGGTATTTCACCAAGTAATTATATATTCCTATGGGGCTCTGAATTCAGTGATAAAAATAATATTATACATGGTAGTTTCATTTTTTAAAAACTATTTTACTTAGGGCTTCACAAACATATGTCCTATTTGTTTTCAGTTCCATTCCACCACTCTATAAAAAGTCTCTAGTTACTGGCTGCAAGATTTTCATAACCTTGTTACAAATGCAGAAGAAAGAGTACTTAAAACTATTTATCAAGAATAAGCATAATTATAGAGATGATGCTTAGATCTTATTAATTCTCAGTCATTTTCTAATCCCCCTAGCAGCTTAAATTTGAATGTAGTATGATTTGTTGCCAATATTCATGAGCAAGCATTAAGTCTTATAGGATTACTCAACAGTAGTGAATGTCCTGCTAGTTTGGAAGGGGACTTCTGGTTTGGAGCAGCGAAAAGACAAACACTGACTTCATTTAGAGGGTCAAATCTTTTTTTAATAATAATGATGAACTGAGGTGCATGAGCTTCAGGCACCCACATGCGGTAGAAGCTGGTCTGCTAGAGTTACCAGGGCACAACCCTCTCAAGGAGAATGTCAAACATTTTTACACCACCACCCCATCAAAGCCACGCACCCTTTCCTGACCCAAAGTAGAAATTGTGACAACAGGGAACCCTTCTAAACCAAAGTAAGACTCTTTTCAGTTTAGTTACGTGCTATGTGTAAAACTGCAATGCTTAAGTGTCCATAATAGCTTTGCAAAGGAGGAGGATGGGGAGAAATGCAAAACAACCTGGCCTTGCCCTGTGATCATTTGATGGCCATGCCCCAATGACTTCCTAGCAGCTCCACTAGGTCTAGTGGGCACCAACTACCACCCCCACCACTTCAATCCTCTCTCCATCTAACCTTACCTTACATCCAAACAAGGAAACTATGGTGAATGACTTCCAAACAAGCAAGAATTTTATGATATAGTTTGAAGTTGACCTCTCAACCCAAGTTTGTTTGGGCACCATCAACCATATTTCCCAGTTTCGACCCAGTGGAAACTCTGGTTAACTGCTGTTTCCTGGCTTGTTCACTCAATGTGTGTGAAACTAAGATTTGCTTGTGTTAATGAAGCCACAGATAGTGTGTGTGTGTGTGTGTGTGTGTGTGTGTGAGAGAGAGAGAGAGAGAGAGAGAGAGAGAGAGAGAAATGTATAGTTCAGTTGTTGCATGGAACCCTGGGGCCTTCTCTCAGATTACCATTTCCCCCAAATTCAAAACTATAACGATTTGCACCAGGAAAATGCAGCTACATAAAATCAGCATCATGTACACCTACAACTGATATTGGCCAAGATGGGAATGGTAAGTTATAGTACAGCTTCTTGACACCATTGTATGAACTTCTTACAGATTTAGAGAACACACATTCACCCATTGTATAGCTCTCATACAAGGGTACTCAACCAGTTTTTGATAGTGTCATTGTCAATTTCTTTATACCCCACATTTTCCACAAGTAAATCTGTTCCCAAAGCAGTACATACAAAAATCTAAATCTAAATACAATAGTGTAATAACAGTACATAGTAAGACATATAATATAACTGCAACATAACACTTGCATTAATAGTCAACAATTAATAGTTCTTCACCTTGCTGCACTATGGGTTTTTTATATATAATGTTGATTATTTGTAGTTCAATACAGGTGTAACTATCACTCACATGCCCTGAATGGGTCATACAGTCCCGGTTTCCTTTCAGAATGGATTCTTGAAATGTATTTCCCCCAAATAACTCTATTTATTCTATAGTGCTGCATCTTCTCAAATTTGGGTTATGGTATATTCTTCATCTAACTTCCTTTGCCCTATCAGTTATTTTACACTTGCCAGTGCTATCATGTACTTTCATGTTGAGTTGTCCATTCGTTAACAGTATACAGTATGTGGGGGTACATAAACTTTGCTTTTCTCTCCCATCCCCATGCTGCTCCAAATTTGCTCATACTCTGATTCCTAAGCACCAAGGTTTTCTTAAGTGATTAATCTGGCAAGCCATTTGCCGAGAAACAATTGTTACTTGCTTCGGGCAAATAAATAATTGGCTAACTGCAAGGCTTTCTGTGCCCTCTTTGACATTTCTGCATCGTTTTCCTGTTCCATTGCTGTGTTTCAAGTCCATAGGTCATTACTGGCAAGCTGGACTGAATAAATGTTTTCCGTTCCAAACAAATACTCAAATGCTTGTTTTTCTGTGTTGCACATGCTCCTCTGTTTCCTCACAAACGGGGTCAAAAGTAAAGGTTGTCCCTAGCTCTTATATCTGGTCTTATATTTGCTCCAAGTTCCACAGTGGAAGATTACCTGGCATTGCCAAATGTTGCAGGGAGAGAAGTAAATGGATGCCAATTGTCATGTTTTCCCTCATAGTTACTTCTCGGTGCCACCCGAGCTTGTTACTTCACCGTGTAATCTGCTCATTTTCCCTTGTTGGGAGGTGTATGGAGCCTTGTATTTACAACAGGAGGATTAGCCTGGCAACTCTCCAAAAGTATTTGGAAAACGACATTGTGGTGCCTTGCTTCAGCTGGGGTTGTGAGGGCAGATATATTTTGCCGGTCAAGACTTGAGAGCATTTAGAGTGTTTTCAGATCAGGATTTCTCACTGGGTCTGAGAGTGAGGCGAGGATTTTATTAATAACAGCAGCAGCATTATCTGATTACTTACACAGACATAGATTACAGATGCAGACTGGCTTAAGTCTTCTGTTGGTCTCAACACTTGGCGTTAAGTAATCACATCCAGGGGTGCTTTGCAGGAATTGCCAACACATACTGTGAAATAAAAGTCTGCTCAGAAGTAAGCATCACTGACTTCAGTGGGGCGTACTCCAAGGTAAGTTTGTTCAGCCCAGACACTGAGATCCAGCACCGAGGGCCTTCTGGCCGTTCCCTTACTGTGCAAAGTGAAGTTACAGAGAACCAGGCAGAGGACCTTCTCAGTAGTGGTGCCCAGATGTCAAGGAGATAAGTGACTATACAACATTTAAAAGACATCTGAAAGCAGCCCTGTATAAGGAAGTTTTTCATGTTTAATGTTTTATTATGTTTTTTATATATGTTGGAAGCCATCCAGAGTGGCTGGGGCAACCCTGTCAGATGGGCAGTGTGTGTGTGTGTGTGTGTGTGTGTGTGTGTGTGTGTTTCTTTTGTCAACAGCATATTTGTAATACAGCTTTTTATCACTAGTGAAAGATAACATGGATTATCTTCATAACTAGTAATGGAATTTGGAATAAAAGCCCCATGTGGGGAATATGGCCCTCTTATTGGATTGTTGTAAAAAGATGCTCATTTTAGGGTAGTTGCTTCTCTGCTTTTGCTACTCAGTCTGGGACACGGCAACAATTCCTGAGTCAACGCTCAATGCAAAGGGCTGTGCGCTATGACCTTTGTAAACACAGTGGAGCATTTGAGCCACCCCTATCTGAAAGCATCCTTCTGTGCCACTGGACATGTGCCTCTCAATGCTTGAGGCAACTTCATAAACACCCACTGAGGCAACATGAAGAGGTGCCATGGAGGAAGAAAATTGGAGAGACCTTCATGTATTGGCCAAAAGGCTATTGAATCACAGCCCTTGACAGCTTGCCTCTAGGAAGGCCTGTCACCTTCTGTATTGGGAGGTAGAGATGGAGCAACCCCAAGGACTTTTCATGCAGAACTATGGCTGCATAGATGAAGCTCTTTCTAGGTTTTCCTTTTGTGTACTTGATTTTTGCTAAAGATAGTAGCATGGGATGTTGGATCCCATTTTTGTTATTAATTATTATTGTTGCTGCTGTTACTGTTCTTATTTATTAATCACCTTCCACATACATCCTAAGGCAGGTTACAAAATATAATTAAAACAGCTAGAAAAAACCAGTTACGAAACAGATACAGAAATAACCAAAGATGAATTTAAAAGCAGTACAAAATGGGCATTTGCGACAGAGGCCTATTCATCCTGCTGGGAAAGCTTGATGATAAAAAAAGAGAAAATCTGTGTTTCTGTTACTAAAAGCCATTGCATGCCAGTGCCTCAGGTACAAGCAGCGTGCTCTTTTGTATCTTTGTATAAAGATGGACAGCTTCTGTTACACTTGGATAGCAAAGGAAATTATATATTAGAAATGAAATGCGTTTTCTTTTCTACTCTTCATCTAGGCGCATTTGCTATCTAACTTGCTTGTTGTATATGACATTCCATGCATAAAACTGGGAACACCGATGCCATATCTCTAAAGCACAGAACCATATCCTCTCTCCAGATTACAAATGATGCAGTGATTCAGAGACAAGCAATTTTTTTCACACAATGATTACCCTTATCACCTACAGCCTTATTGTTTAAAATTTCCATCGTGTTGGCTTTTTTCATGATACTTTTTTTCATTGTTTGCCGATGGCTCCCATTAGTTGTCCATGCAGACTTGCCCACGATTAGTTTTATTTTTGCACCAACAGCTCAAATGACCGCTCTCTTTCCATCCATAGAATTGTTGAATTGGAGGGTAAGAAAGGGCTCAGAACAATTTCTAATTTAGTCTTTTCTGCCCATTAATGTAGGAGGTTGGATTGAGACTGTTAGCCACCCTTAGATCCTATTGAAGTCAGTATGAAAAGTTAGCCATGAAAAACTTAATTACTATTTATTTCAAAAGGAACCAAGGTTGCTTCCAGGTGATCTGTTTATTGAGCATTCATCCTGAATTAAATTTGCACAGAGGTTATAATGATGTTGTGTCAAGCAACGGTTATCCCACATTCCCCAGTACATTCTTCTGTAACTTTCCTTACTGTAAAAAGTCTGATTTTGGGAAGGTGGAGAGTAAGCTAGAAGGAGGACATTTGAAAAGCAGGTTTAACTTTTTCCATACTGCACAGCAACATACAAACTGACTCCCCCATCCCTCAGAGTTATTGTTTTGGCAATTGCATCAAAAGCCAGGGAACCATATATTTCTCCCACTGGCTTGAGAACATAGTGAACTTGGAATGGAGATAAATTAGTGTCTATGGTGATCTCCGTTGTCAAAGTAATTCATGTCACAAGACCATACCAAAACAGACACAGGGGAACAATCTCAGATCATATGTTGAATCAATGCTGACCTGTTTTATAGCTCCAACATCTATTTGCATTGTGCTGTCAAGTGGAGTTCCAATAAGTACTCTGAGCCAAATTGAATTAACTTGCTATAATGAATGACTCCTGGAAAAGCATTAAATATTACAGCTGGTTTTGTGTCCTTTGCCTGCTGGATGTTTTTTTGCTCACCCTAGATTTTCCCTGATAATGTCCTCAAATGTTTTAAGGCACTTTTCCTCTTGAAGAATATTCAGTATATTTGACAACTCATAAAGGAACCTGGAGTTTCTTCAAATCTTTGCATTGGCAGTAATGAGTATTTCCAGAAAATAGCATTATGGTCATATTCAAATGTGTAACAAGTATGACTCTGCTATTAGTTGTAATTTATCTTAAGCTTTGAAAACATTTTTTATTAGCCATGAATTATTGTCAATTTGATCATATTCACAGGAAGAACATTTGGAGACTATGTTATGTTGAAGGATTCTTTGTTCACAAATGGGTCTGTATTTACTAGTAAAAGGCCTGGTTGTTTCAATGAAATGCAATTTAGATGACAGCATCAGCATTTCCTCCATTAGAATATTCTGCATATTAGGCTGAATGGCTTAGATTGTAGTGGTACCTTAGTTCTCGAACGTAATCCGTTGGACTTCCGAAACGTTCGAAAACCAGGGTGTGGCTTCCAATTGGCGCAGGCATCCTGGAAACAATAGCTGACAGCCACGTAAGACTTTCAGCTTCCAAAAAATCTTCGAAAACTGGAACACTTACTTCTGGGTTTTCAGCGTCCAGGAGCTGATTTGTTCATCAACTAAGCCGTTCGAGAACCAAGGTTCCACTGTATTCCAAAGCAGACTGCAAAATCTCAATGATTTCTTTACAACTGAATGGGTAGGTGATTGTCAGTTCATGATACCCTGCTAAGTTTTGGGATTTCATAGCTTGACAAAAAGAACTTGCCAAAAAAGTGGATGGATGTAGATCATAAGAACATGGAAATCTGCCTTATGCTGAATCAGACGACTGGTTCACCTACCTCAGAATTGTCTATACGCACTGGCAGCAGCTATCCAGGGGTTCAGTAGGACATTCCACCTAGGGATGCTTGGGATTGAACCTAGGACTTGCTGCATGCAAAGCAGATGATCTACTACTGAGCTATGACCCTTTCCGCTTAGATAGCCATCACTATGTCTGCAGCTCAAAAAATGAATAGTATATACATGGATGATAGGTGAAAACTAAACCTGAAAATTAGGTGATAGGTGAAGTCTCTGGACAATTGTAGCTGGGGATTCTCTGTAGACTGCTGAATGATTGCATAATAGTGGTAGAAGAAGCCTTGGCTACAGCTCATGGTTAGCAAAGAGACAGCATGTCATCTGAACCCAGGCTAATGGTTAAGCTAAGGCCAAACCTTGGTTCAGCTCAGTGCAGTGCAAGAGTAAAAAAGATGGGAGGAGGTGAGCAGCCTCAGGCTCACTTCTAGAAGCATGCACATTCATTCAGCCTGCTAAATCATAATCTGGCTTACCGTGACATGTGATCCAGGCCATTTGGTTTGCAAAAACTCCAGAAGAATAAGCCTAGGAAGGGTGACAGTGGGAATCAAGGAAAACTAAAAATGTCTTAGAAAGTAAGCATAATTGTGGTGTGGGGGCGGAGAATTGAAAGCGAGAAATGTAAATAGTGACAGATGGGCATTAGCCTACTTCTGAGAGATTGCCCTGTTGATCCCAGATAATGAGGGTGGATCTGCATCAGCAATTTTCCCTGAGAGATGTCCCAGGCACAGAAGCTCCGGTCTACACCTCATCTCTGCAGGGTCCCTGTTTATGTTATTTTTATTTGAATAATGTATACCCCACTTAACAGTTCTCAATTCAAAGCCACTTCCCATTAAAATTACAGTTGGCCCACCTTTAAAGCTAGCCACTCAAACTGAGAAATCACTCAAAGTGCAGTTTGGGTGCATTTTAATAAGCCTCTGGAGTGAATCATGTTAACAGGATGAATATGTGATGTGCAGTGCCACCCTAAGCCTTAGGATCTCCCTTACACACAAACACACACTTCTGGGAAAGCAAAGGCCTCTTCACTGAATTATTTGCCTTCCATGAAACATTAATCATGAATGAACCTATTCACAAGTAAGAGGGGCAGCAGCCCCATGTTCCAAGCAGCAGTCTGGATGCCTGGTTAATTTTGGTGGATCTGCTACTGGGCAAGGGCTCCAGCTTGCCACTTGGCAATAACACTTCCTGTATGGCAGGCTTGATTAAGTGTGAAGTACACTGGTACTTCAAAAACATAAGAGCTGAATGGGGTTTTATGTGTTCTTGCCTTAATGGAGGTGTTGTTGAAACAATAGCCAGAGCCCTGTTAGAGATGATGTAGAGGAAAACACTCTAAAGCTCGCAAGAGGAAATGTAGAAGGCTTGGCCCAGCTCCGAAGCCAGCAGCTCAAGCTGGGAAAGCCTGGGTGCATTTTAATAACCCTCAGGAGTATCTCATGTTACAGGATGAATATGCCACATGCAACATAATCCTAAGCATCTTTACTAAGACAAAAAGTCCCATCAAGTTCAGCAGGACTTGCTTTCTGGTAGGAAGGCAATCCATATGTCATTCTGATCAAGTTTTATCTCCATACCCAGTTATGTGCTATATGTGCAGTGTGGCACTGAAAGTGCACCAGTAGATGATAATATCAATGAACCTGTGCAGATTACTGGAAGTCACCCCATTACCTGAACCCCATTGTATCCCATCTTCTTTCAGTCACCCTTAAATGCAAGAAACTCTGGGTAAAGGTGAAAGAAATTGGATGCTGTTGATGGCCCTAACTAATCAATAGTCTGCATAAGGCAGATAGGATCTTGTTGACCCTTCTTTTTCTTTTTAAAGGCCCATAGTGTCCCACTGTCTGTTGAAAATTGGTCCCTTTATCATGCTTTCCACATTATTTTTTTAAAAAGTACTGCATTTCAAATTAACATGGAGGAGAAAATATGAAGATTCAACTGAATCTGCAAAATGGAAAATTATACATCTTCCATGAGATACAAACACATCTTAGTCAACCCACAAATACGTTATGCTACCAGGTTGGATATAAGTTTGCTTTCCATTGGTTTAACTCCTCAGATTGTGGATTGTGCAAGGGAATGCCACCGTAAGAATGTTTCTGTGTTTACCAGAGGATCAAGCATTAACATCTGCAGGATATTGGGTGATGATCTGCTCTACCAAGATTTCTGCATATCTGGCTGGGTCTGCTGGGTCTGCTACAGCCAATGTGGTACTCTTCAGGTGCTATTAGACTGCAACTCCCATCAACGCTAGCCAGTATGGCCAGTAGGGGTGAATGAATTTGGAATCGTAACAATCTCTGGAGGATCCCATGTTGGCTACCCTTGACCTATATTAACGGGACAGGTGGAATGTTTGCTTTTCAGTATCAGTTAGATGACTCTGTGCTAGATTAGAATGCAAGTGTCTTGCACAACTATAGTTCAATAGCATGGCTTAGTGTTGTTTTCAATCACAAAACTCGAGTTCAGAGCAGATATTTAAAATCACTTGATCCTTGTTGGAAGATCTCTTGCAATCCCATCCATGGGAATCGGGGCATATGGGGAAGGGGTTAGCTTCAGGAATAGGTTAGGTTGTACTAAATTTGGTGCTTTGATTCCAGAGTTATGTATAGAAGTAGACTATTAAATCACGCACACATACATCGGGAGTACAGTGCATTGTTTATTGACCAGCTGTTGTTCTCTTTAGTAAGAATACCCTACAACACCTGTCCCTGCTTCATCTGCCTCATATCCCAGCCAGTATCCTGTTCAAATCAGCTGCCAAGTGCATTTCCCCAGAGTGGAAAAGGATGTATAATGCGATTCTGGCTGGGGACTTTACCTTGGCGTAATTGTTGTTGTTAGTGAAAGAGGCCTTGTTAGAAACAGAGAGAGACCCTTAAGAAAAATTGGTTAGCTTCTGCTGTGTAATTAGCAATCATTTGAAATGTGTGAACTATAACTGCCCTTTCCTCAAGCGTATTATACCTAAATCCAGAATTCAAAGCATCTAGAGACTTTCTATATTATTCTCCATAAGTTGCCAGCTTTAATTAAGTGAAGTTCTCTTGGATACTAGTCCCTTGCTTTAGATCCATGCCAAATTGCTACTTCTTCATTTACAAGTGGATATTGTCTTTTCACTTTGAAATTGATGGGAGAAGAAGGCTGTCTTGCGATATGCATGGCTTACGCAGGCTATGCAAGAGAAGTACAGTGGTACCTCGGGTTACATATGCTTCAGGTTACATACGCTTCAGGTTTCAGACGCCGTTAACCCAGAAATAATACTTCGGGTTAAGAACTTTGCTTCAGGATGAGAACAGAAATTGCGTGGCGGCAGCGGGAGGCCCCATTAACTAAAGTGGTCTTCAGGTTAAGAACAGTTTCAGGTTAAGAACGGACCTTCGGAACGAATTAAATACGTAACCAGAGGTACCACTGTAATGTTAATGGGGATCACACCTTATGCAAACCCACAAGGATAGCTTAAAACAGCTGCCTTATACAGACACAAGCCATAGGTCTGTGTAGCTCGGTACTGTTGGCGATTGCTGGCTGTAGCTCTCCAAAAGTATTGGGGAAAGTTGTCTTCCCAGGTCTATTTGAAACCCTCACCTGGAGGTGCCTAGGATTGAATCTGGGACCTTTTATATGCAGCATGGGCTGTATTACTGAGCTCCTGTCCTTCCCCACTTTACAGGATACTACTTTCTTTTACTTCTGGTTTAATACTTAAGAACTGACTAGGGAGCATGGGAAACTGAGATTTTCCTAGCTGCTACCATAGCCTCCTATAATTTCTTGTGAATTTGAAGTAGTAAAAATTTAACTGTACAATTGGTCTCCTCTTTCTCATACCTTTTTTCTTTCCCATATGCATTAACTATGGATATTTACACTGGCTGTTGCATAAAAAATGCACTATCAATGCTTTTTACTATACAGCAATTACTGCTTTGTTCTTGGGGAAATTCTAATACCTTTACATCCCTATTCACAAAGCAGTTTTGAGGATCTGAGAATTGATATTGCCAGGTTCTGTGTTTTGCACTGGGCTATTGGTTTACATTTTGCGTAGGGTGTGCAATTTTCTTAATCTGTTTGAAACCTATTTTTGTATTTGAAAGTAGTTATTACTTGCCCTGAGCCTCAAAAACTAGCTCAGAATTAAACATGAAATAAAAATTAGAAAGGGGGGAGGGTAAAGTATTTGAGGTCTACCTCTTCATTCCTTTTAATTTCAGCAAATATAAAGAGAAGAAGAAATGGGTTATTCCCTAATCTATAAACAATAAGAGACTCAACCCCTATGAAAAATTACGGCTGGCCAGATTTTTTTTGGCACTTTGCCACTCCTATTCTCATAATGAAAATTAAAGCCCAAAACCTTTCCCTATAATTTTTTGTGGTTTCTCAGTTTCATAAAGAAAGAAATACTTCAGAAACCTAGAGAACAGAAGATGTCTCAGTAGAATGTACTGGAATGTGAATATTTTCCCCCACTTTCATTCATAGAGTTTTATAATCATGTTTGAAACAGCTTACAGAAGCAGTTATGGCCAAGTACAGAGGTAACGTGGTTTCTGAGTTCCACGCTTAATGTAGTTAGGCAGTTACAATCATGTTGTGAGGTCAATTTGGAAGCACACTGGAGGTGGTAAATATAGCATGGATGTTAGAAATAACAGTCTTGTCCCCAGCCATAACTGAGTAGGAAAGACAGGTCACAGCTGCAGTATAATTTCATAGCATAGCTCTTGGCATTTACTTTTGGCTAGGACTACAGCATAGTTCTAGGGCTTTGTCCCCACCATGCCTTGTTCAACATTCCTTTCATCATGAGCCCTCATTTTCAGCTTAAGGAGAAATAAAGACAGTGAGTATAATGCTGATAACCAAACATTTTTTTACAGAATTGTTAAATGGGTCTGGTTCTCTTTGATAGAACTATGTATCATTAATGAGAGAGATGTCAATAATAAACATAACCCACTTGTCCTCCTATTACTTCCGCCTGGCTGTCTTTGTCTCATCAAAACAACTGATGATTTGATACCAGCTCTGATTGTACAGTGAACATAAAACACCAGCCGTCTCCTACTTGGTGCTCTCCAGATGTTTTAGACTACAACTCGCATCAGCACATGTAGGCCAAAACAGGAAGACTGCAAGACATGCACCTCACTTGTGTTCTGAATGGTGCGTGCATGCTTTAATCATCACTTTCATTGGCAAAACCTTCATTTTATTTATTTATTTTTAAAATGTCTGGCCTGCCTGGTTCTTCAAAGAGGCTCAAGGTGGCTAACAAACATAATCCCCCTTTTAAAAAATTCACCATACATTCAAATTCATACACTAACATTATCCATTTAATGAATTCCACTGATATAAAAGTAGCACAGAAGTAAGCCAGCCAAAATTACACTGTTAACCAAAGGGCTTTTTAAAAAGCTGGTTCCTCACTATGAGTTCTTCAGAAAGGCATTCAGTAGGGTTAGGTGCCATAACAGAAAAGGCCCTATCCCTAGTTGACAGCAGTATAACAAAATAAAATTGATGGAAACAGCAATTGAATAAGGATGTAATTGGCCTACCAACAATCTTACCTTTCACACTCACAAATGCCATAAAAGATAGCATGAGACTGCTTTTAGTTGCAGCCATAGTAAATAGTCTTTCTCTTGGATTACCCATATGCATTTCTAAAGCATAATCTGATTGAATTCAAGACCTAAGCAGATCCAGCTGTTGAAGAGGAAAGGTAGTTAATTTTTATTAAAATATGTGTTCTCTTGAAAACCTGGAAACAAGGAGATAGGAATGCCCTTAGTGATAGTGTCAGAAGTAGATCAAAGTCTTAGTAGGTATGTTGGTCACATAGAACAAGAAGCATGTGTACACATAATTAAATAGACAGCTATGTCCATGAAGATTACACATACAAATGATCTATACATGGATTTCACATTTTTGCCTGCCTGGAAGCAATTTCAATGCAAGACATTTTAAGAATCCCTTAGTTATAAGGCTGCATGTTGCATTTTAAACACTAGTTGGTCCGAATAAAACAGTATCATTTCTCTTGGTGTTTCAAGTCCTAGGTGGCAGGACTAATGAGAGGGAAGATTCCTGTTCCTCTTTCATTTGGTATTGAAATCATGTAAAAACTGGGAGACTGCTGAGTTGACAAGTCAGTAGATGAAAGGATAGGTAATTATGCTTTGAATCATTCAGCTCTAGGTCATCAGGTACATTTGACCTTTCAGTGGGAGCATATTCTAAATATTAGGTGGTCTCAGGAATATAAAACAATATAGTTTCGTTTCTAAGAAAAAATGTGCCATTGTATCCAGCATCAGTTGTCTGTAGGGATGCCAGTTTGCAGCCTAGATACTCGCTTCATCTTTTAAAAATTACTAAGCAGGAGATGCCACTTCTGTACATACTTAATTTCCAAGTTGCAAGCTGTCAATCAGTCCCTGTTTTCAACTTTGCTTTCCCCATTGAAAATACGAAACGTATTGTAATTTAAATACCTCATACCTCTATATTCTGTGATATTTGTTGTAGAATTACTATGCCAACTACCATTGGCGTAGCCAGGATTTATGTTAGGGGGCAGACCTTATGTCAGGAGGGGCAGAACCAAGCTGTTAGTTAAGTATTTCTATTTATTTACTTGGGGGGGACAATTGTCCCCCCTTGGCTACGCCCATGCCCGCTACTACTCTAAGTCATGGTGCCCTGCAGATATAATGAACTACAAGTCACATCATTCCTGACCGACCAGTGACCATAGCTGGGACAGAAGGAAATTGGTGACCTCCAGATGTTGTGGACTGCGTGTGCGCTACCCCTGCTCTACGTCTTCCTCATTGTTACTGCAGACTAGCTGATCCACACATCCCTTCCATTGTGTTCCTCTTCCTGCTGTCCTCTCTCTCTCTTTTCCTCTTCTCTCCAGACAAAATCTTCTGCATGCCCCACAATCAACAATCTGGGATAGGGGAGCCGCCTTGGGCCTCTGGTTATGGGTGCCCTGCGCGTGACGTCACGACGTTACATTGTAACGTGACGTCGTGACATCACATGTGTCTCCCGGTCTCGGAACCTGGAAGTCAGGTTCTGATACCTCGTGAGACTTCTGAAAGCATCTCCGAGTTCTCGCAAGGCCTCAAACATGCTTCCTAAGGCACCAGAAGTTGCACCAGGGACGCTGCAACAAAATTTCTGTTGGTGCTCGGTCACCCAGAGCCCCCTACAGTTGGCACCCCTGATCTGGGATAATTGGTATTCTGCCTTTTAGCAACACCCAGTGAAAAGGGCTGTAAATATGCCCATGTGGTTAAAAGCTGCTAACAAGTTATCTTTTTGTATTAAAAATTCTTGCCTGTGTGCCCTGTGATAAGTCATCTGATTACTTTTGAGGATGTCTATCATTGGAGAGCCTTTAAGTCAGGTAATAACCACCCCTGCCCTCATTTAATTCTGTGGGTACCACATGTGACACAAGCTTGAGTCCAGCATCTTCCAAGTGGCTGTGTCTTGTTTTTAGGTTTCAGTTGTTATCACCTTAGAAATAGACCTAGAAGCTGCTCCATGCTTAACAACTGTTGCCATGTTAGGGAGGGCTTATTGCCCTCTGGCAGAGAGAGGTCTGAAGCCAGGAAGTGCGGCCTGTGGGAATGCGTATTGCTAAAGGCGGAGCAAACCAAGGGAAGATGCTCCTGGAGAAAAGGCAATTAATAACTGATGAGACAGGAGCAGGGGTGGAGGCGGCAGAAGGCAAGCGCACATTAGCCAGCCTGGATGCAAGAGCGAGGAAGACTTTGCACAACAGGGCCTGGTCTGGGTGTCCTGGGAGATTCCGCTGCAGAACAAGAACTAGAGCAAAGGGAGAGCTGGAGGCCATGTGGCAGGGTATCCTAGACCTGCCAGCAGGAAAGATCTGTAAAAAGGAGAAAGAATCCTAAGGCAGCAGTCTGACAGGCTGTCAGGCAAAATGGCCCAATTGTGCATGATCTGTGCCTCTTGCCAACTGATTAAGGAGAGTGGGAGGTGAAATAAGCTGTCACTCGCAGCAGCTGAGGGAACCAGGGGAGCATGTGGGTAGGGTTTTAAATGGCAACAAGCAGTTCAATTTTGTTTATTTGCAAATTCAGTTTTCCAGCCTCCTCTTTACATTTGCATCCAGTTCACACAGCAACACTCCACACACACACACACACACACTTGAGTACTGTAAAGTCGTCAAGGACCTTTGCCTTGGAATCTGAATTCCAAAACTCTTATTTGGAAATGTGGAAACAGAGAGATATCCTCCACGCACACACCCTTTATCAGTAGATTTAATGACTTGTCTGTATCTCTATATATGTACACAAACAAGAGCCCCCTACGCTTTCCTTTGCTAATATTCAAGGTAGTTCTGGCCTACAGTGTTGCTAGCCTATTCTATTCCTGGCTTATTAAACTTTTCCTCAATGTTTAACTTTGATTATCCATGCTGTGGTACAGTGAAGGTCGCAATTTCTAAGAGTTCTTTGCATTGAAGCACGGACCTTTTAAAGGGCGGCTTTGTTTTCACTTTCTGGCAGCTTTGGGGAAGCACTCACTCTGCAAACTTTTTTGCCAGGGGTTTTGTGAAGATGGTGGAGGGGGTGCTTGCAAGGAAGGGGAAGAGGAAAAAGGAAGACACCAGCACCCACAGCTTGTTAGAGCCATTCACTGAAAAGAAAACAGTGCTTGTGCCAGACTGAACAGCCCTGCTCCTAATTAAGCTCAGGGAAGCAATGGGATGGTTTAATTGAGAACAGCATCCCTGTTTAATGGTGCCAGCAATATAAAAAAAGCACACCCAACCAACCAAATTCAAAGCATTAAAGTGCACAGAAGACAGTAGGCAAAGGGGAGGGAGGTGTTGTTCCATAGGGCCACGTGGTAAAACCCTCTTCCTTGCATGTCATTTGGAAGAATAATTGGATTTCCTTTACAGATAGAGTTTGTACTTAGTGGCTTATGGAACTGGATATTTGCTAGATGAAGAGCCAAGCAGCCCAGTTTGGGGAAGAAAGCACTTCCTGGTGATTTTGACAGTGGGAAGTAAAAGCCAGAAAGCTTCACCTAGATCGGTATGCCTCCGATTAGCCTAACTTTAATATTTGAAAAGGTGTCTCCTCAGGTCATAAGAGTTCATCTTCTAGCATGTGCAATACTTTTGAATTTTAGACCCATTAAGTATACCTACTAAACTATTAAATTTGCTTTGAAACACAGGCTGGGATCACACACACACACCCCACCAGATTTTATCCATTTTTAAAAAACAAACACTTACTTCCAGATCTATGCTAATCAGGTTTGTCACCTGCTCTGGCTCCTGTTTTCATATTGGTTAATGATGTGTGACATACTGATTTAGCCATCCCACCCTTCTCAGCAGCGCACAGGCAATGGAGGCATCGGCCTTTAAAAAACTCTGATGCAAAGGACTTAGGGGCATCGCTGCAGCCCATCTGTTGTCCTTCAGTGCCAGGTGGAGCCACCATCTTGAGTAATGATCACCGTTTTCAGACACTCATAAAAACAATTTTCTGGCCCTGTATCTTTTACAAGTGCCACATAATGTTTGTCCCACACTTGTAAGAAATCATTTTTTTATGTGGCAGCACCTATTTTCTGAAAATCCCTGCCAGTGAATATTCAGCGGGCACCTTCATTGTATTGTTTTCTCTGCCTGTTCAAAACCTTTTTGCTTAGGCAAGCCTAGCCAGACAAGTAATTTTATTGTGCATATTTTCTTTTTAAAACTGTTGACGTTATGCATCTTTTCACAGTATTGTCTGCTGTTTTTAAACTCTGTATTTATCATTTTTAAAATATTTGTATACTATTGTGTAAACTGCTTGGATCTTTTTATTTTATTTTATGAAGCAGTGTATAAATCTTGCTAAGCAGAAAGCAAAACAAATCAACATTGATAGCAGCTGTCATTTAACCTCTGGAAAGAAAGTGCCATTCATATAGTACAGCACACATGCACCCCTCAACTCTTAGCTAACACACAGCCTTGTGTATACTGAATGCTGCTTTAGACTAAGTTGCCTGATACTGCTGGTAATTTTAATATTTTAGCTGCAAATATTGAATTTATTATACCTAACCACAGTGTTAATGAAAGCGATAGCAACCTACAACTGGGGCTCAAGTGGCACTGTACTTCAGATCTGGGCAGAGCAGGCTAGTCACCTGTTCTGTTTGCCTAATAGGAAACTGTCTCCCTCAGATGTGGAATGCTGGAGTGAGACTCAAGGGGTGGTGGAGTAAGCACTCCCCTCCCTGAAGGCTGGGGGGCAAATGGTTGACCTGTCTTCCTGTTGTCACTGTCTGCTGTCTTTCACTGCTTCTCTCTACCAGGGGTCAGCAACCTTTTTCAGTCGTGGGCCGGTCCACCGTCCCTCAGACCGTGTGGTGGGCAGGACTATATTTAAGGGGGGGGGGGGATGAACGAATTGCTATGCCCCACAAATAACCCAGAGATGCATTTTAAATAAAAGGACACATTCTGCTCATGTAAAAACACGCTGATTCCCGGACCTTCCGCGGGCCAGATTGAGAAGGCAATTGGGCCACATCCGGCCCACGGGCCTTAGGTTGCCTACCCCTGCAGTCTCTACCTTAGTAGGTAGTTGTTGCTTTTTTAAAAATTGAAAATTGCTATTCCAAAAGTCATGTATTTCAAGACATGCATATTCTGTGTCTTCAGCGATGAATTGTGCCTCAGTCCAGTTTAATTTCCAGAAAATCATGCATAAAGTAATGCATAAGCAGTTTCATGAAGATGACTTGGAACCTGCCTAAACCCAGGCCTTTGGAATTTAACTGCATTTTTTTTTAAAAAAAAGTGAGGTTGAGTTGGATTTGTTCTTTTATGCATATTACTGTATTTTAGGTCGTTTTTACTCAAAGCAAGTGACGTTGAGTTCTTTTTTTTATAAAGAAACCAAAAATAAAAATAAATCTATCAGTTACATTAAATTGGAAGGACAAGGAAGCAATTTTATCAATTCCAGGGTTTTTTGTTTTGTCCTGTTCCCAAAGTGAATCACTCTTGCTTCTTAAACTCATTCTCTTGCCTCTCCTGCCAATCTACCTGAGCCACCTTTCAGAGACTAGATGTCTGAGAGAGCTGTAACCCCATCACCACCGTTAGCAGGTTGCCCAACTTCCACTGTGCTTTCTTTAATGGAGTCCTCAGAAAGTGAATTTATTCCATTCATGGTTTGCCAGAAAGCAGCATTTTTGGAGTCTCCTCAAGGGGACAAGCCTGTCAGTCAAATTGTCACAGACAATAATTACCCCCCACCAGATCCGCACACTCTGTCTTCAGAGCAGTCAGTTAGAGCTACCAATACAGACAGGCTATTCTTACCAAGTTGGTTTTCAACCTAATTAAAAGGATCCTGTCATTCCTTTCCCGTACCCCTCAGGCCTCCAATGGTCCCTTGTTCATTGCAGAATACAGACAGCTAAAACACATTCTTCCCTAGTACCTTTTCTGCACAGATAAAGAAAAACACTGAAATTCCCAGAGGAAATTCGGCAATGTGTAGCTAAAATTACAGCTGGCACTAAACCACTTAGGCAAGAAAAAATCAAAATCCAATCTATTGTCCCAATCTTAGACAGGTTTACTCAGTAGTAAGTATCGTGGATTCTGCTAGGGTTTTATTCCAAGTAAATATACTTCAGTTTAAATATTAGGGGTGAAATAAATAGCTTTAAGCTCATAACATTAAAAGTGTTGAGTAAGAATTAAAATTGAACAACACTTCTGCATTATTCTTTGAAAACTTTTGTTTATATTTGTACTACCAGCTATTGTGCCTGTATACAATGTGGTAAAAGCATAATAGATGGTTTTTGTTTTTATTTATTTATTTTTAAAACTTTCTCTACTGCTTCCCACATCAAGTCTCAAGGAGGTGTATAGCAATATTAAAACATTAAAATATGGGATTAAAAGAAAACCTAGGACAATGTTAAAATTTATAATATTCTGAAATCAAGTCCCAGCAAAGGCCTGAGTGCATGAATCTGTTTTTAAAAGATACCTGTTGTTGTTGTTGTTTAGTCGTTTAGTCGTGTCTGACTCTTCGTGACCCCATGGACCAGAGCACGCCAGGCACTCCTGTCTTCCACTGCCTCCCGCAGCCTGGTCAGACTCATGTTTGTAGCCTCGAGCACACTGTCCAACCATCTCGTCCTCTGTTGTCCCCTTCTCCTTGTGTAAAAGATACCTAAATGTCATTAATGTGGGTGTTCACCTAAGCTCAGAGGGAAAGTGCTTCCATAGTATCTGGGCACCACCACAGAAAAGGCCTTCTCTCCAGTAGCCACTAACCAAATCCATCCACCATTAGGGTCTCATCAGCTGATTGTAATGATAATGTGGGGTAATATGGATAGATTTTCTTCCATGGGGAACTGAGACTAAAGTTTGTACATGTGAATTTGCAAACTTCCCTGGCCAGCTGGCTCAATTCTAGCTGGATCTATAAATCTCTCTCGAATTTCACTCACCTTTCTGTAGATCCTGTAAAGAAGGGGCCTGATAGAGAAAAGGAATGAACTGGAAGCAATCCATATCAGCTATGCACCATTAGCTGTGGGTGTAAGATCCCAGAGTGGGTTACAACAATATTATGTATGGTTGCAAGAATAGATAAAACCAATACAATTATTAAACAAGTAAAACCATTCCAAATGGAACAGAACTTTATAAATTCAACAAAAGAGGTGGTCCCAGAGCTGTATTAGCCAGTCTATAAAACAGGCTATAAAAACTCTACAGTAGCTGTTAGCTGGTGCTAAGGTAGTAACTTGTCTGTTGCCTCAGTTGCAGGATTGCTATCCATGGTCCTGAATTCATTCCAGAATTTGGACTGGTACCAACAGTTCTGACCAAGTTGCTGAAGCCAACTCTGCCCTAGATCAGCAGCAGGGATCTGCCTTACCCCACATACCTGGGGATTACTTCCTAATAAGCAATTTCTGGAGAGCACCATATTGACTCCCCCAGTGTACATACGTTTTAACATGTGTAATTGCCAGACTGGTGGTCTATGGAAAGTTTAAGATCTTGAAATATTTTCATATACCATATATGTCAGGCCTCCTCATCCTAGTGCTCTATTTTGGACTTGCAGGCTGAGGTTCTTGGGAGTTGGAGGTTGGGAAAAATGAATGTATGTATATATATATAACCTACAGCCATGACTGTTCTTGTGAATGTGATGAAGTAGACTTGAATTTTGCTTATGGGGAAAAAATCAGCAGTTCATCTTTTTTAGATCATATAGGAGAAAAAGTGCTAATACGAAACCATATTTCTTCAACTCGCAATAGAAAACCTTATGTCTGTTTTTCCTTTGTTTGCAACAAAACTCTCAGCCAAATGTATTGATTTTCTTCACTGCATAGCCTTACAATTATAGGGCTTCAGCCTGATTCAGGAGCTCAGTTTTTTAACAGTTTGTGCATCAAAATAGTTTTTTTATGGTGAGGAAAAACTTTTAAGGCATTTTATGCCAGGACTCCAAGTAATATTGTGGATGTGCCTGGTGAACAATGTAATATTCAGTATGGCCTCCCATACTGCTTATCAGGCCAAGTGCCATTGGTAAGGAAGTTGGGCAGAATTTAAAGACAGCTTGAATTTTATTCTTCTTACTTTGTTAGAGACAAGTAGTATTATTTCTGTCGTTTAACTCACAAGTCCACAGAGACAGTAGAAAAGGAACTGGAGCAAAGAAGATTCAAATCGATCTTTTTTCTGCCAGGATTTAAACCACTGAAAATCTGATTCCCAGTTCATGGGCTGTGCATCTGTGGTCCAGAAAACATTCATTGCAGTCATGAAGCTCCTGGCAGCATATTGACAAGGAGAAATGAAATCCACATCTGGCCTCTCTTGAATTATTCCTTATTGCTATGGAATCTTATTCCACAAATCATCCTGAGTTGAGTGACACCAAAGCTTCTCTCTTCACATGACAGATTACAAACTCTTTGTTCCTCCTAATCCTCTTCAAAAACTAATGAATGGCAAATTTAGATTAAGCCTGCCCCCAGCAAAACTGTGTTTATTCCACAATAGTCCCACAGTGCTGAAATTTGGCAGGCCAAGAATCCAAATGGCTAACCCAATTGGTGATCAGATACTTCTTTATTTCTGCATAACCCACCTAGAAACAGAAGAGAAAGCAACTCAATACAGTTGGCAGTGAAAGGAACAATAATCTGAAAAGGATCTGATCTGCAATATGGTGTTTGGAAGTGAACACACTGAAGCCAGCTACAACAACATATCAGTTTCAAGCTACCTGAATTCGTATGAGAATAAAACTCGCAGTAAAGTAAGAGCGCAACCCTGAATAGGTTAAGCCTTTGAAGTTCAACTGTTACATTATGAAGGCTTGTACCAGAACTACTAGCGTGTTTGAAACACACATCTAGCAAAACAAGTTTAATGTTTTATGGCTCAGATCCGTTGTGTTTTGAGCAGGTTTGTTCCATAAGTAAAAAAGAAAACTCTACAAAATTTAAGGAAAACGTGGCAGCCCGTGATTTACCTTGTTGTTGCACAGGTTGCAGTCCCATGAACACTGGTAAGCCTTCTAGGGCTAAATGGGTAGGGAAATAAATATCACTCAGAAGCTGCTGAGATCTATTCTCTGCCAAGAGAGATTTATGATGTGGTAGGAAATTGCTTTGGTAGCTTTTAACCATACTTCATATGCTATTGCAAGCAGCAAATATTAAAATGAATTGTTGACTTAAAAATAAAGAGAAGAAAAGGCCTGTTTAGCTAAAAATGCAAGTCTTAAAAAAAAATCAGCTGAGGTGGAATTTGCCAGTACTGCCAAGAATGCCTTTTTCAAAGATTATCTGTTCATTGATATGGTTGAAGAAACACCCTGACGTGTGTGGGCCCAACATTCCTTGCCTGTGGCAATGCAGTCTTCCCTTTCATTTTTCCCCCCTAGGATCCTTGACCTTCTTTTTACTTCTTTTGCGCAGTCAAATGCTGCTTTGTAGTTTATGGAGATAAAATTAGAAAAGGCGCTTCTTAAAGAAACTGCTGATCCATTTGTCAGACACCGAGCACTAACACATTACTTTGTGTGCTATTTTAGCTTCGTCTTTCACATCTGATTCAGTGTGACTGAGAACAGACCCCAGCTGCATGAAATATAATATATAATATATATGTTATATATATATATTAGATATTTCTACCTAATGCAACTTAGAAAGGAAAACCACTTGGTGGAAAGAGACCATGAGAAAATAATTCTTTGAGAAGAATTATAACCTTTAAAGTTGGGGTAGAGGGGCAAGTTTGAGGTCTTGGACCTCATAGCTGGTCCTAAAATCAGTCCTAAAGAAGTAACTATAAGGAGCTCTCCCAGAACAACAAAGAACCACAACAGCAATAAGCCAGAATTGGTCAGCAATGCTCCATTCCCCCAATTTTGTGAAAACAAATAGGCTACAGGGAGAGAATGGTTAATTGAGCTATGCTACAGGCCAGTCAAGACAGTATCATTGTAATCAAGGGTCAATGGTGGCTAGCATCTCAGACTCTGTAGTGTGAAAATGTGCGCTCGGTTCTGTATTTGTTTTGCTTTAAGAATAAAAGTAATAATTATTATAAGAAGGTATGATAAGAACAATATTTGAGGTCAGACTCACTTGCTGACCTGAGCTAATGGGGGTGCTGCAGATTACACTGTGCTTGTTATTTTGAACCAGCACAGCAACCTGCAAACAACCCACGATAGTAAGCAAAAGGAGAGTCACTGAAACATCATGAAATTCCTTATTCATGTAGATAGGACCTGGTATAAGCAACCTTGAGATAGCAGCCCTGGCATCTTGAGTGTGATAACAAATCCCGAATTTGGGGGGGGGGAGAGACATGTTTCCAGTTTTATTGTAGTCTGACAAGGTAAAGGAATGAATCAGTGGATCAGCCTGGATTAGAACAAGAATCCTCCTAAATTCATAGGGATCCTCCTAATAACAGATGGCAAGACTAATCTTGATGTGGCTGCCTTATCTGCAAATGTGCTGCATCATTTTGATGAGTTTCCTCCTTTCAGTAGCTGTCTCAAATGAACTACAATTTTCCAGCTTATCTTTATGTATTATTAAAATTGTTTTTTTATTGTGCAAGGTATATTTTTGTTTGTAAGGTGCCTTGAGTTTGAAGTGAATCCCTATCTTCTACACAACACAAGTATAAAAAAAAATTACTGAGCAGCATCAGTAAAGGATGGAATAGATTTTGAAAGCATCCTACTCAGTCCCTCCTGTAAGGTTCCGGTATCTTGGAAAGTGACTCTAAAGAAAGTAGGGCGACAGGTGTGGAATCACTTATGAGACCTGCACAGTGTTAGGAACGTTTTCACCTGCTGCATAACTCTGTCAGAACAACACCTTGATTTTGCAGACAGCATTCAAGTCCAAATAGGATATGGACATACAGCTCCTCACAATTGCCCCATAAGATTACCCGATTGTGCTGTGGCAGGGAACATGGATTTTCATATCAGCATGCCACCATTTTTCTTAAAATACTCCTTCCCTTCTCTAGACTCCATCTTGATCTATTCACTTCCTGTCTCAAGGAACTCCCTCCCCTTAGCAACCCAATTATTTAACTCATTCTTCTCAAGAGACCACATTGTTCAATTTGCTCCATTGCTTATTCTACATGAGACACCCCATTTATCCCCAGTTATCTCCCACCCTTAACTGCTCTGTCCCACCCCCTTGCTGCGTATCCATATTTGATGTTTTCTTTGGATTAGTCAGGGACCTTAAGGCAACTTGAAACTTTGGGCACTCCTTAAATAAGCTTTTCTACTATTGGAACCACGTTGGGAAACTTCAAAGTAATCCAGGTTGTTTGCTTGGAGACTGCAAAACACAGAGACCCTGAGTTGCACCATATGCAGAGCTCTGTCATTCTAGGGTAAGCATGCCAGGAAGCAGTGAGGACCTGTTGTAAAGTTGTGCCCTTGTTGTGGGCATGTTGTGGAAACAAAGATGCTTAGAATGTGATATAGCTATACACCCACATTCTCTACATGACACACACTCCCCACCCCAATCAACAAAGCATCTATACCAGCAGAACTTTCCATTAGTATTCCACATCCTCTACTTCCTTAGGCCTCTTAGCCAGGAGATCTTGGGGACAGAGTTGCTCTCTGAAAAGCTTCTGTGTTCCATTTAACAAACTTAAAACACAAACCACTTTTAATCCTCTATGAAAGCAAATTGCAGCCTTAAGATTAATGTAAGTGATTTTGAGGCTGAGCCATGGTCTATCCAGTCTCCTTGTCGTGCTACTTTTGGAACCTTTGGTATCCTATATTACTTAATGCAGCTGGTCTCTTTTAGCTTGTTTGGGATAAATAAGACGAGTATTTTTTAATAACGGGACAAGAGTTATCCTGTTGCATTTCCTTTTGCAATAGTTCTAACACAATTTCTAAGGAAGCAATCTTTAGGGCCTTCATATTTGTTCTGTGGATCATCTATTCTAAACTGTTTCCATTTCTTTACTTATTGTATTTTCTGGTTTCTCCTCCTACCCTTCCTGCTCAGTTGCCAGGAGGGTGGAGTTAATGAGAAAGAGATTCTCGTTAAATACATTTTCTACCTTGAAGGGTATTGATTGACCTGCATTTATCTAAGACCTTAAAAGTGATGCTTCTCCCTAGGGTAGGGTTAAAGGAAGGAATTCCAAAAATCTCCCTATTGAATTGACTTGTTAGAGGAGCCAGAGGAGGGTGTGTGTGTTTTTCCTGCCCCCCTTTTTCAGGAGAGGGAGTGGGCATACTTCAGCCTGTCATTCTTGTGTTTTCTCTTTTTGATTGTCAGGTATTAAATTCACTGTGAAGATGGTCTGAGCCTTGCAAAATGCATTCCTCTTCATATATTTAGTGGCTGCTGGTTATCGAAGGGGAGGGACCTGGGATCAGTTGGCTTTTCTTTTCTCTCGCTCTCTTAATCCCAGGCAGCTGTCACTCACTCCTTCACATTCATTGTATGTGCCCAGTGGCGGAACGGATGGTAATTATGCACATTTAAACTACAGTACTTTTCTCATGCTGAAGTTAGCATTGCTGCCACGCTAACTTCTCATATCCTTTCAAAACACCTGGCAAAATATTCAGTGCCGTTTCTCTCATTGTTAATTAAAAGGTTGAAATAAAAGTATTCTATCTTAACAATCCATTTTCCTATCAGGCTCAAAGTCTGGGCATAATTGTTAGGTTTGGCAACATGTTTTATTTATACAAGTTCTCTCTTCATTCAGGCAAAGATATGCTCTTAACCCACCACATTTCATGAACATGAGAGCTAGATGAGAAAGTTAGAGCATGTGCTTGCTTATTTGCGGAGACAAAGTTCAAATCTCTTACATGGGGTTTTAATTAATTATTTGAATAATCCCTGATTGACTAGGCTTCTCCGTGTGACTAGTTTGGAAAGTGTTGCTGTAGTTTTAAATGGGCTTCATTTGCCCTTAGTGAAGTCAGAAATCTGATTGGATGCAGAGCAAAAATGTAGGATCACATCCGCAATGAGTTAGAATTGTTTGTGGATGAACGAAAGTGCACACACAAATGCTACAGAAAGAGCAGCATTGCAGGGAGAGTTAAGAACTGCCACAAAACTGTAGGATTAAAGGGGGGTTGGGCAAAGCCCCCTCAACCCTGAAAATTCCTGCTTTCAAGGTGAAAAGGGAATCAGATCAGCCCTAGTTCTCTTAATCTTTATGCTAAATGGCTAAACATGCTGAACAGAAAAAGGAGGGCAGTAAAACAATCAGACTGAAAGATACAACAATATGGGAAAACATAGGACGAAACTTTATACTGAATTGATCCATTTGGTCAGTACTGTCTACACTCGTTAGTCCTGACTACCCAGAGTTTCAGACAGGATGCATTCTCTGCCCTACCCAGAGATGTCACGATTGAAACTGGAACATTTTGCATATGAAGCAGATGATCTACCACTGAGCTATGGCCCTAAAAATTGCTCACTCGTTTTTACAGTACCAGATCCCTTCTGTCTGTCAGACAGAGCAGAAGCAATAGCATCCTGGCAGGGACTTACTGGTTGGGGTGCGAAGGCAGCAAGATGGTTGGTACACCACCAGTGGAACTGATGGATTGGCTCCACCAATGTGCCTTGTAGCACTGACATTGCCAATGCCTTGCCCCTCTCCTGCCAGTTAGCAGCAGCAGCTACATCCGTTCCACCAGCCATTCTTAGTCTCCTGTCTTGGTGTGATGTACTTTAGAGTTTGGCTACCAGGATACAGCTCAGTTAGACCTGCACTGTCTGGGATGCTGCAAACAGATGCCCTCCAGATGTTATTAGACTCCCAACTCTCACCAGCCTCATCCAGCATGGCCAACGTACAAGAACGTTGAGAGCTATAGCCCTGCAGCATGGATTCCCCACCCCTTCTCTGAAGGAACTTGCTCACCTTGAAAGTAAGTCAGAAAAGTTTTCAAGAGCAGACTCAATAGCTTGCAAGGTTATGGTGCCCTCAAAATGGCTAAGGCTGGTGGGAGTTGAAGTCCAACAACATCTGGAAAGTACCATGTTGGCGACTGTAGCATGAGATTAGCTGAGATCTACAACATTTCTGCACTCTTTTCTGCACCTGTCTTTTTCCCCCTTGTGTGCTATTTTAGATTTTAACCCAGCAGATAGGGACTGTCTTGTTTTGATTGCATGTAAACTGCTCTGGGAGCCTTTGTGGTTGAAGAGCGGGGCACAAATGCTCCAAACAAATAAGTACAGTGGTACCTTGGGTTACAGACGCTTCAGGTTACAGACTCCGCTAACCCAGAAATAGTACCTCGGGTTAAGAACTTTGCTTTAGAATGAGAACAGAAATCGTGCGGCGGCAGCGGGAGGCCCCATTAGCTAAAGTGGTGCTTCAGGTTAAGAACAGTTTCAGGTTAAGAATGGACCTCTGGAACGAATTAAGTTCTTAACCCGAGGTACCACTGTAACTAATATATATATAATATAAATATTGTTCTTCTTCCCCCACTATCCTCTACCCTTATAATCTGCTACAGCCTTAATGCCTCAAGCCTCCATCTTGCTTTCTGCTTCCAAGTCCTTGAAGACAAATACAGAAGCCTGCACAGATTCCAAAACTATACAAATCTTCCCAGATGCCCCCCCCCGCTTATTTTGCTGAGGGTCAGCTATTAGCATTTTATCAATATTGTTGTTTTACCAAACATGCCTTTCCGGTTTGGGTTTAATAAAGACTCTGATATAAAAGGATTTGATTCTATTCTTGTTAGGAATAAATAAAGATTAGATCTAGTTTTCAGCAGGTTCAGTTTTGGATCCCAATGAAACGATGTCAATCAAGACATGCTTGAAGGAGTAGGGTAGGGACAGATATTGCAGATTAGGAGGAGGTCCTGACCTAGGCCAGCTTCAAGCATGTTGGCCCTTAGTTTCACCCATAAACGCAATCCTCATACTCTCTTTGAGTAAACCTATTTTCCTGTTTGAGTTCTGGATAAATAATAATAATAATAATTTATTATTTATTCCCCAGCCACTCTGGGCAGCTTCCCAAAAAATAGTAAAATACTGTAGTACATCAAACATTAAAAGCTTCCCTAAACAGGGCTGCCTTCAGAACATTCATTGTCAGCTCACAAGACACAATCATAGCTCTCTTGCTTGGCAAAAGCCTATCTGGCTCATGTAAACCATTGCAAAACTTGGTTTTAATATGTAATGGACTAGCAGTTAACTAGTGGCTTTTTGAAATTCAGTAAAAACTCAATAGCCAATTTGGGTTTGAATGAGACAAAGCGTTCTGTCTTTATATTTGTGCATTTTCATAATTTGATAGACAGTTTTAAGATTGTACTCAAGTCTCCAGATGGACTGTATTATTTAGAATTCTATTGGGTTGTCGTTTTTTTCTGAGAAAACTGAACTTCCAATAATACCACATTGCATTTCAACCAAGGCTTTTATTTCCTGGTTAAAAATGTAAAAGATTGAAAATTGAGGGCTTTGCATTTGAAACTTGATTGCATTAGCTGTGGATGATAATTTATTACAGAGTCTCAATGCAGACATCACACCCAGGCAACTGGTTGGTATTATGTTCAAGTTGACAAACCATGATTTGCTGTCAAACCAGAATCTGAAACCATGATTTAAAGTGCAAAGTGTTGAATGGGAAAAAAGTGAAAGCAGATCAGAAACTCTCCATGTGCGTGCGGTGCACGCGCACACAAATGGGACTGTGCACCAGCCCCCCTGACATTTTCCCCACATTAACTCCTTAGATCAGTGTTCACCAACTGATGAACCACACCAGCTTTTTTAGACTAGTGGGCACATTTGAATCTTGAATGAATACTGGAGGCACCAGCCATAACATGGCTGCCATGTGGGTGTTTGATTATAAAATAACTGTTCTAAATTAATACATTGAATGTAGAACTTAATGTCGAGGACAGTACATAGTACCAAGAGTGAAGTACATTGTGTGAAGATAAAGTAACGGTAAAGGGACCCCTGACCATTAGGTCCAGTCGTGACTGACTCTGGGGTTGCGGCGCTCATCTCGCTTTATTGGCCGAGGGAGCCGGCGTTTGTCCGCAGACAGCTTCCGGGTCATGTGGCCAGCATGACTAAGCCACTTCTGGCAAACCAGAGTAGCGCACGGAAACGCCGTTTACCTATTTATCTACTTGCACTTTGAGGTGCTTTCGAACTGCTAGGTTGGCAGGAGCAGGGACCGAGCAATGGGAGCTCACCCCGTCGCGGGGATTCGAACCGCCAACCTTCTGATCGGCAAGTCCTAGGCTCTGTGGTTTAACCCACAGTGCCACCCAGATACTATGGAGTACTTGAGGGATCAGCATCCTTTATCTCTTTCACAAGAGGCAGCTGAGGAATTGAAGAGGGAGGAGTTTTGAGTACAGCTAGAAAGGGAGAGACACTATATGGGGGAGCCGGGTGCTGTTTTGAACCATGGCCACAGTCTAAGTAGAGCAGCAGCAGAGAAACACTGAGAGGAAAATAATTGTTTTAAACAGCAGAGATTTGAGTAAAGCAGGGGTAGGCAGACACTGAGGGTCTGGTTTGAAAAGAAACATCAGCTTTAACAAGGAGAAATAACAGAGCTATAGAGATGAGTAAACACAGAAGCTCACATGAAAAAGTTAACAGCATTTGCAAGCTCTCTTCTCTCCTTTAATCCTAATTTTCGACAAAAAGAAGTTGAACAGAAAATGACAAATCTCTTTTTAAATATGTTTAAATCTGTTGGTATGCATTTGTCCAGTGCTTATTTTTCTAAAAGAATGTTTAGGGGTACTCTCATTTTTCTATTCATATTGAAATACTGCCCTTCAATGACACCAAATCTAGATTCACAAAATGTTTAGGGGTATGCGTCCCGCCAGAAAAAAAAAAGCACTGCATTTCTCAGTCACAGAAGTATCCAGTATAACAGAATTTTGTATTGTGTCCCCACATAAAGATAGGCTGGGAAAAATACAGTCTGCATTGGCTCCATATTGTACTTTGGAGGTGTAGTAAACAGAGGAGAGCCCAATATGATGAAAAGAGGGATCTGGCACACATATTTACAACAGAGAGCTAGCTGTCGGCTTCTGTCTGTGGGCTCATGCATGAGACTTTTAGAGTATTAGAATATCGTAAAAAATGTTCATTGAAGCAAGATCTAAATAATGTTTTACATTTAAAATTAAAGATGGCTTTTGGTGTAAGCAGCTGGGAAGTGCAAAAAGGGGAAGGTAAAGTAAGAGAGAAGTAATGCAATGACACTCCTTAAAGATGCATTAAAACTTGGGGATTCTAAAGTAGGCTTATAGATAGATGAGCCTGCAGAACTGGGACAAAGTCTGCTCAGCATCCACAGATGGGCCTTGGCTTTCACTATTATCTGCTTGAGATCACAAAAGGGGAGTTTAAGGTGATTCTCTCTCCCAGCTCCCTTCCACATTTGCATTGAGTGAAACCTATTGTTCATTGCCACTTCCACAAAGAGAGGAGGATGGGTAAGAGATGCGAACAGCCTGTTCCTATTCCTGGTAGCTTTGGGGATCAGACAGGCAGCACTGGATTCTTCTACTCTACCTCTGCCAGGCAGGGTGTTAATGTGGCGTGAAAGCAGTTTAAAGCCTTGGGCCTCTCTTGGAGCCAGCAGGGTGTCCGAGGCAGGCCCACATCCCCAGTGGGTGGCTGTCAGTGGCAGTGCGCTCTGTTAGGCAGAAATTTATTAGTATTATTCCCCCCCCCTTTTTTTTTGTTAGAGCAGCAAGGAGTGTAAGTGACAGCTGTATTAAGAACCACAGTGCCTCCGAATGGGATCAGAAGCCATCTGCACAGAGGTTCTTGACAAAAAGCCTTTTCAAAGTGCTTAGTTGCGTCTTAAGAAACGGGGAGGAGAAAAAAAGGAAGGAAAGTGAAGGGGTGCCTGCTGTTTCTGCAGATTTTTAGCCTCCTCTTTTTTATTATTATTTGCCTGTTTGCTTCATGCAGTCCTCATTCTTTTCTGCCCCTCCAACAATGTGGAGAACTCTCTAATTCAGATCCCAAAGCCCAGGCAGAGGAATGACCTCTCCTCTCCCTCCTGTGGTTTACTGTCTCCCCGTATCTGTTTTCCCAAATGGTTGAGAGTGGCAGCTTGGATTTTTCTTCTTTTTTTTTAAGGAGACATAAATTCAAGACTCGCACGGCAGCACCTGGCTTTGCAACGGGTGCTGCTATCAGGCGGGCCAGAAACATTTTAAGAAGCCAAAATCTCTTTGTTCTTTTTAATCTCCCCTTCCCCCTGTCTGTCCTTCAAGCTTCCTGGCATGTTCAGCTGCATGGCTTTGGTGAAAAATAATGCAAGCGGTTTTATCATTAACCTGCTCAGCTGCAAATCTTCCCACCCTTCCCCTGCAAATTCACACATATATTTGCATATGCAATAGGCTGTATTCTTCCATTCTACAG